AATAATTATTGTGTGTGTGTGTGTGTGTGTGTGTGTGTGTGTGTTGTAGTATAAATGAAAAGAAACTTCAAACCACAATAAAATTACATCAATGTTCCATTCTACCGGTTATCACCACAGCAGGCATTATCTAATTACCAAATAACTTTACGATAGTTTACCAGAATTAGGAGTTGTCGTTGTCTCTACGTTAATTCGTGACGGGAATTCTTGTCGCACTTTTCCTGTAGTCCCGGATCTATTCAAAGGATTCAGAACTTTGCCTACGTAAAGGATCGTACCGGTGGTCTCGTCCTCGATGTAAAACACGAACGGATGATTAGCTTGGAACGTGCCCTCTTCTATCTTATTTCCGATTTGTATCTCTATGTCAAGAAAAGAAAGAATGTAAATACAACAATTATAATAAAAAAAAAGAGATGTGCCTTTTACAAACGCATTTATCGTTATCCATGTATTTCAGTTAATAATTTATCTATATGTATACATGTCATATTTATACGTAATGATTTATTTTAAGGAACATATATACCTGTTGCAGCGTAAGCTGTTGTCCCATTTTCATTCACCTCTATTCCAGTCTTATGCATTACATCGGATACCCGCAGATGCCGAGAAGCTCGTCTGGTTTTTGCTATACCCGTCAGCAGCGCAGTATCATCAAAGATATCACGAATACCAAGCTATTGCAAAAAAGATAAGAACGTGTTACCACATCCACATGATAATGATGTTTCTATTATAAATGTAAATTACAAAGTAAAATGTGCAAAGTTTATAGCAGAAATAATAAATCTGGCTTCGATCTCTTTGCTGCATATCTATCAAGCTCTCGTCAATTATAATATAATGTTTTTCTTATTAAATATTTGGAATATTATTTAAACGTATAGGAATGTGAATAGATTACCTCGCGTAAAGTATTTTCCAGGTGGCTCGTAAATTCGAACTTGAACTTCGGGATCCAAACGTCAAGAGGCAATTCCTGCATGGCCCACATATCTCTCGCCAATATAAATGGATTAATCTCATTGATGATATGATCTACGCCTGTTAGCGTGTGCGGCAGTATAAAGTACATAGCGAATTTGAAGCCCTGAAAAATTACATCTCGTGATTTCTGCGTGATTATCAATGATTCACTCGTAATTAGGTTGTCACGTACGTCGTACGGAATCCGCAGAATTTTCGCATCAAGCCTGGATGATTCGGCATAGAAGAACCGGCCTACAGTGTGCATATACGGTACATTTACACTCTCATTAACGTTGATATAAAATTTAGAAACTCGCGTATGTTCGGGTGCGAAGTATCTGCGGCGCCAAGCACCTTTGAAGAATAATCCATTCACGATTAGCATCACCGAGTCCTCCAAACCTTTTTCTGGAAAATAAAACAAAATGAATATTAAATGCAATACCTTTAAATCTCAGTAATTAAAATTTGCAAATTCTTCTGCTTTTATCAAGGCGCCAAATTATTTTGCATACATTAGCTAAAATTATATTTATACATCTGTATCATGATATGTCTGGCGTTATTATTAAACATAAAAAATACTTTAATCGCAAACATAAAAAAATATATACTTTAATAAATGTGACATCTTTTCATATTTCACAGATCATACTGTTTCAAGTTTGAGACATAAAACATGGATCGATAAATCAAGATAGCAGCTTCAAGCAAACCTACCGTCATCAATCATCTTTTCGATGTGTCCATTTGTAATATTATTGACCCAAGAATTAACTTTAGCTGCGATCGCGTGCGTGTCAGACAAATTCGTGTTGATCACATCAGTATTGTAAAAGGTTTTCACTGTCGCTGAATAGCGTTGTCTAGTGAGCACGTTGTCGTCAATGTAAATGCGGGAACCTAAATTTAAAGTATACGCAGAAGATGGAGTCTGTAAATAAATATCACTTTATGTATTTTTATATTAAAATTATAGACATAAAATTATAGTTTCAGTAAGAATATCGATTTGCATATTTTTTAAAAATTAATTAAATATAATTACAATTTACCTGCAAAGATCTTAGAATATTATTAAAATTCTCTCGAGTGGCTAATAGACTAACTGGAAGTTGCATGACTCCGGCAAGTTCATGCGCGGTTTGATCCTGAGCTCCTTCGTAAAGAAGCACTAGTGCTAGTTTTACGGATATCGGCGACAGTAAAACATTCCCTCCGTTTGCTTTGGCCAGGCTCTGAAGAAACATAAAAAATAGAATGCCAGCATTAATATAACTAATATAACTAATAAATTAAACAAAATTTAATGATAAACATTAATAAAATAAGCATTTAAAAATAATCTAAAAGACTTGTAAAAAATTTTTACATTTAAAAGATTCTTGTTAAATGTATTTCTTAGATACAGTATTTAAATGAAGTAATCGCTAATAAAAAATTGTAAAGGGTATTTTATAAAGATACATACCCTAAATAATGCCCAATCAAATACAGTAAAACGTTCGCCCTGATAAGGCACAAAATCATCGTCATCTTCAATTTGAGGATTGCTACGAGAGGTATTCGTTCGTGCAGGAGTTTGCGTCACAGCGCAAATACCTTCTTTTATAAAACCTACTGCAATCGAGAGACATAGTAAATAACCTGTAATAAAGATTTCTTTATTCACAAATTATATCCCGAAGAGAATCTCATCATCAATCAATTCTTCCATAAATTATTTGCTCAATTTGGAGTCGATTTTTACTTAATAGAATGATTGACGTATTTATTGTGTTTTATTGGAAATTCTCGAAAATAAAAAGATTGTAAGATGCGCAAATAAAATAATTATGCAATATTTTTTAATTAATTCTAAATAAATTGTTTCCTGCAAAATTTTAATTTAAAAATAAGAAAAAAATTTAATAAATTACAAAAAGACGGAAGATTAAGGTTAAAAAATAAACGAAAAAGCGTTATTAGTATAATTAAATTTACATTAAGATGGTAAATATTAGTTAAAAAGATTGTAAATAAAAAATGAATGACACATCGATATTATTATGAATAATTATATTTAGATTTATATTGATTCTAAATTTTATTTATATTAAGAAATGTTTTATTATGCAGCGACACAATTCTTTTTTTCTTTCTTTTTTTTTAATAAGCCTATTGTTAATGTTTGAAGAAAGAATATATTTATTTCCAGGAATTTTCTGCGATTATGTGCTCAATAATACACCTTCAGTTTTAAGCATTGTACATATAATTTATGTACATATAAATATTGTACATATAATTCATGTTTTGTACAATTCACCGATTTGACACAGAAGTGATGTGATAATAACAATAGCCACATAGATATCTATCCAAACGGAAACCTCGAGGAAGCCGCATTTTTGTTGATGGTCAGCAACCTCTGACAAATAAGACCTTGAGCTTTTTATAGTTTATGAAGAAGGAAAATTTCAAGGATCTTAACATTGACCTTCAATCGCATTTTTTTACCTTCACATTTTGCTTCCATATTTTTCTGTGGAATTTCATTCGAAAGAATTTAATCTTGTTCAATATATAAATTTGATAACAAACATCAGAATTACTTCATGGTATATTGGAAGATTTTATTTTTTATTTTTTAATTGCATTATAGAGATCCATTATAGAGATAAGAGATCCTTATTTCAATCCAAGAGTTTTAATAAGCATTAGTTATTTTATTTAGACAGTTAAGTACAATACAGTTCAAACGAGAACAAGTCGATTAAACTAGAATTGTCATTCTACTTGTCACTTGAAGATTTGAAAAAAGTTTTGTAGAAATAATAGATATCTTAAAAGTTTATAAAAGGGAAGATTTTACTCACCCAATTGGAGCCGCATGATCGGCCAGTCGCGGCAATGTCAAGACTCGTTAAATTCGGATGACGAATTAAAATGAAAATTTCGATTTTTAACGCTCGCGATAGTCGGACAAACGCTTATAACACGATCAGTACACGGTAAAGATCAAAACCGGTCAGCGTCTGACGATCCAGTGGATTATAGAGTCCAGCCGCGAGGAAGAGTAGTGGTAACACGCGTAGAGGCGCGCGGGGAGATTACTAACAGGAGGAGGAAACAGTGGTGAACATGACTCAGGAGCGCATCTGCACGTGCTAAATCATTTATCGATAACGTTTTGCGCATGTATAAAATCCGCAGGCTCATATATGTAGGTATGAGCGAAAAGAAATTTCCCGCGGGAAGTTTCATATTAATTTTAGAAAGTTTTATATTAATTATTAATTATATATATTAACGCTAAATCGCCAGGACAAAAATTGTTGAAAGTGTTTAATAACAAATTAACACTAAAAATTATTTAATCATTAAGTGGTCAATCATTTTTTTATTGTTTCTATCTTTTTTAATTAATATTTTTGTCTGATATTGAAGATAAGATTTAAAAATTTTCTAATTTTAATGTTCTATCAAAATAGAGCAATTCATGAAAAATTAGAAAATTCGCAAATTGTGCTTTTGAAAAAAGCTTATATTAAAAAAGCTTAATATCTTAAGAAAAAAGATATTAATTTAGAAGATAGAAATGGCTGCTTTTAATTTAGAAAATTTCTATTGTAAGTGTAAAAATATAATATCAATCTACTGAAAGCAACTAGCTTATTTTCAAAGCTGCATAAGATAATCATTAAGAAATAAAATGTAAAAATATAAAAAAATTAAATGCACATTTAAAAATTTGCTTTTAAGTTAAGTATATCTGAAAGATGTAAAAAGAAGTATGTATTTATTAATTAATATCTAACTGTCTAATTAAATGTGTAATTAACTGCCAATACTTCAATGATTCTCATATTTTTTAGAGACAAAAAAAAACGCGAAACGTTGATTTACATGAGACACTCATATTTCTTTTGTTCACCGACTTTGAAGTACCTAGAATTTTACATCACCTGACAAGATTGCCTGATAGCATAATCAGGCGTGACGAAGCATCCAAGTAAATGTTCACTGGGAACATCCGACATTTTTTAAAGTAAACGAAAATTTCCGATAGTTAAGTGATATCACTTTGTAAACATGAGCGGGTGCAGGATGTGGGAATAATGAGGATGCAAAAATATTTCGTGATGACATTGTTAAAGAAAAATGTATAAATCGACAAGAAGTCCTCTCCATTATTTATATTAAAACGTTTTATGTACAGAGATTGTTTAATACAAAGCTAGAATACTTAGGAAAAGCTAAATATAAAAATATGAAAATAACGCTAAAAGTATTAAGCAAACTGACAATGAAATTAGATGTAAAATGTGATGAGACATATGTGTGAGACAGTCTCACTTTTTGTGAGATAGTCTCACAAAAATTTGATAAAAAATATAAACTGAAACTGTGTCACTGAATTCGCGTAGCTGCATTTTCCTTGAGGTTCTCAGAATGTTGCAGAGCAGAATATTTGTCTGTGGCATTGTTGACTATCGCAGTGAGAAAATTCAAATGTTCCGGGGTGATAAATGTACTAGCAATGTTTCTTGCCTGTGCAAACAAAACGCCAAGTCAAAAGCTATAAGTAATTATAAACTCACATACATTCATACAAGTAATTGCCATTATTTGTCCAATTATTTGGGCATTAAAGTTAAAAATTATTCCAGTATAATTAGTGAAATGTAAGTAACAGCATAAAATATGAAAACAAATCGATTAACTAAATTGAAGATTCGCGAGAATATAAATGCGACGATAAAGCGTATCGATTGACTACAATTATATTTTTATATTATTTATATTAATATTATTATAAACCTTATATTAATATTTATTTATATTAATATTATTATAAACCTTAAGTAGAATAAAAAATCATATAAAGAACAAACGACGTCAAAATGATATCATTTTAATGTCATCTTGTGATCATCTTATTATTATGTATATTAATTTATATTTTTATTTTCGACATTGAATGTACACATAAAAAAAAGGCTTGCTTCAAAGAGTTTTAATTAAAAAAATATATTTTTGCATTAATTTTTTCAATAAATCACACATCTCAAATAAATATTGATATTATTTTTTAAAAAATCAAAAACACACTTCTCAGTAATATTATTGTATTTTTAAGTGCAACTTAAATTTATATAAAAAGTCATCAATAAAGATTGGTGGCAATTACTTAGATTTTGAAAATGCAAAAACGAGATGTTTGAAAAAAAAAATAAAAAAATTGTCTTACATCAAATCCCAGAAAGTTGCAGATCGATGTTTGCGTACAGATCAGACCAATAAAAGTTGTACTAAGAAGGATGGCTACCAGATATCGCAGTAGATAATTGCCAGTATATATACCGTAGAAGATCAAATTGTCAATGAAAGGCATTAAGTTGGAAATGAGGAACAACGATTTCGAAACTGGCGTTTTCTGTGATAATGCCATTTTCGCGCCGGATAATTTTCTCTTTTCGGATTGCTCTCCATATTTGGCGCTTGAATACTCCGGATAAGTCGGATAAGTCGGATAATTAGGAATATTCCTAAATTGACCATTCCTCTCTAATAAATAAGCTGGAACAGTTAATTCTTGATGTGTATCTTTAATCTGGACTGAAGAGACGCTTGTTGTATACGCAAGACCAATCAAACAAACGATCACTGCACGATACATCTTCTATTTTGTCGATTTGGATTAAGAATTTCAAATGCGCTTCAATCTATTTGAAAAGAAGAAACAAATAAATATATAAAGTCCAATTGCTAATCAGTTATTGTTTTATATCTAAATCGTAATTAATTACAACACAACACTACTTTTTATATATTTAATTGTTAACTCACGAATTTTGCACTTGACAGATGTCGTTTCAAGATGAAACAATTTTGTTCGGTTGAAGAATTTGGAACTAAAACCCGAAAGCCCTTACGTTAGCCCTTTTATACTCTGTTACTTACATTCATACCTGTTCTTAAATACCTACACATCTAAATTTTTTTGACTATGACTAATCTTTATACCTGAAAGAAAACTTTGGGAAAGATATTATTCAATGACAACCCATTTCTACAGTGACTTGAGTGATAGTATCTTGTCTGACCGTTGTCAACCTTTTCAGACAGAGATTTTGTTTTAGATAAATATGACCTTTGCGTCAGACGCATTTCTCTATCGAAAATGATTATATAATTATAATTACAATAGCAAATAAACATTTCAACAATAATTTTTGTAATTTTTGTAAAATTGTAATATTACGCAATTATTTCATTTACAATCGTCGAAAATAATACATTTACACCATTAAAAATAATACATTTTTATTACAATTGCAGCAAATTTAAAACAAGTGTTAATATTGGCAGATCTATAATTTTATCGTGAATCATTACGTAGTAAAAGCTTAAACGGATGTAAGCAATTTTATCAGAAGATCTTATCAGAAAACGTATATGACGATCGTAAAAGTACCATTATAAAATTTTTCAGTAGATGACAAGGAAAAATGTATTTTAGGCGGGAAATTACGCGATTCCGAGAGAGAAAGATATCAAGATGTGCTATCGTTCATAAATCATTGTTATCTGATTAAAGAAAAATCTTTACATGATTTTATTGCAAAAATATCCCTGTACAAATACATATGAATTTCTTTAACAAATATTCACATTCTGTACATATAAAAACAATTTCTCATTGCGTTCCACATATTCATATCATCACATCACAGTATAGTTCAATTTTTGTACGCTCATAATTAATCTTCCTGTACTTGCACACGCAGTTTCTCGATTTCATCCTCGCTACTCATGGAGTGATTTAAGATTGTCTTCTTTTTTTTTATATGTTTCGTATTCTTATCGGAACAAAGACGTTTTCGTCTGTTTCGCTCCAATTTCCTTTCAATCTCATCTAATAACGAATCATTACGGACGAGCATGCTTGGCTCAGCATCTTCCGTAACGCAAAATGAATCCTAAAATCAGAATTAAATATTTAACCTATAATTATATATCCATATATATATCTCCATATATCCATATAAAAATCAACTTAATTACTCGTCATCCAATGCGAGATAAACATAATTTATAGTACATACACAAAGATACGAGTCTTGCTCACTTGGCGAAAACTGCGAGTAGATATCTATATCTGACTTAGGTCGCGGATCTCTGAAATGAAAGGCACCTGGTCTCTTCATCGGGCTTTTAATAGTTTGCAAATAATGCGCGTGCATGTCAACTTGTTCTTGCGGATTTTGTGTATAGCTCACAAAATCTCCAAGATCTTCATCATCCGTAATAATCTCATCCGAACTGGCATCGGAATCTACTTCCACTTCGTCATCTATAAACTCATTTTTACAATTGAGCCTATACTTGGTTTTCTGTGCGACCTTTTCATTCGAATGAAAGATTTGTTTCGGCGCACCGGAGCTAGGTTTTAAAGTACTTTTATTTACCGTATTATTCATATATCTACTAGGCGCTGCAAAAACACTTAAATCTATCGTATCTGAATGCTGGATTTTATCTCGTTTTAAAGATAATTTTAAACGTCTGTGTTTCGGCGTAGACACACCACACGGTTTCATATCTTTCAACGAATTGTCGAAATAGGTGTCCTTAATTTTCAAATTTTTCGATGTATTATCAAAATAGCTATCTACAATTTCTGATTTTTTCGACGTACTAGGCATGCAGTTATCATATTCCGATTTTTTCGGTGAGTTGCAAAAATAACTGCTTTCAAGCTCGTTAAATTTTTAACGTTATCCTCTGTAATTACGAAATCTTCATCGGAATCATTTAGGAAATCGAGATCTTCTTTATCCGCACATTTAGCAATAGAATTGCGATGAATATTTGATAATGTAAATTTATTTGTCTTCGAATTTGTGTCACTTTTTCTTTTAGCATTATCTTCTAAAATCATAAAATCTTTATCAGAATCATCTAGAAAACCAAAATTTTGTTTATCTGCACACGATTTCGCAGTAAAATTGTGATGAATATTTGATAATATATTATTAGTCTTCGAATTCGTATCGCTTTCTCCTTTAATGTTATCCTTCATAATCATGAACTCTTTGTCAAGTATAAGTTTATTTGTCTTCGAACTCGTATCGCTTTTTCTTTTAGCATTATCTTCTAAAATCATGACATCTTTGTCAAAATCATCTAGGAATTCGATGTCTTGTTTATCCGTACGTGATTTGATAATAGAATTACGAGTATTTGCTAGTGTGATACTATTTGCCCTCGAATTCATGTCGCTATTTCGTTTAGTATTATCCTTTATAATCATAAAGTCTTTGTTTGAATCATCTAAAAAATCAAAATCTTGGTTATTAGTATGTGATTTAGCAATAGAATTACAATGAATATTTGATAACATATTTGTCCTCGAATCCGTATCATTTTTCTTAGCTTTAATATCATTTTTAATATTGACTGAAATCCAACCACAGCTTTCTTCGTCAGTCGATTTCTTTTTATTTACAGAAAATCTCCTTGATATTCCCACATTTTTTTTTCGTTTGTGCTATTTCACTGATAGCTTGAGTTATAGATAACAAACTCTCTTCTGTTTTAGAATTGCATAATGACTTATTCTTCTCAGTATTATTAATATCACACTTAATAAATTCATTTATATCATCGTCGCTATTAAAATTAAGATCTTGTATTTCGTCTAAAAAACTTGCAAGTTGACCTTTTTGATGAGGTTTATCAAATTTCATAAAGGCTGATAGATTTTGATTATTTTTGGCAATATTACTTTCATCATGAAAAATATTAATGTCAGTTTTATGTTTTTCATTGATTTCTCTTGTATCATTAGCGGAAGCATTCAAAGAATTTAGAGATATCTTTTGCTGTTCTATATCAGCCTTATTTTCTGAATCATCTTCAACTGAACTAAATGATTCATTCAATATGTTTTCGAATATGCTAGGTTCCAAATCTTCTAACACATTAGTTGATAATTCTGTTCTTGTATCTGTTATAATTTTATCATCCTCTTTCATATCAACAACTACAGGAGATCTATTTGTATTAATTAAATCTATCTCTATATTTTCAATTCGTTGGTTTAAATCTAAAATTGCTGTATCATTTGAATCAGAACTCTCATCAAGTATATCTTCGAATCTTACTTCTTTGTTATCAATATTCTCCTCATTTCGAATAGAGCACCAGAAATTATCATCAAAATTTTCAATATTAAGATAATCATTACTATCAATAATATTCTCATCTTCATTGCTTTTACAATGTGTTGATAAATTATCTTCATTGTTTTCCGTCAAGAAAGATAAATCGTTAAGAATTTCTATATCAGGTACTACAAAATTAAATAAATCTTTAATCGATTTTGATGCAGGAATATAAGTTGTATCCACTTTTGGCACAGCTTCAGAATATATTTCTGCTTCCGATTTCTTCATTGCACATAATGTCAGAAACTCGATCCCCATGTTATCATCAGTTAATAATTTGACATTATTAGGATTTATTGTATTATATTTGTTACTATTTTGCGTTGTTAATTGAATAAAAATATTGTATGCATTAGTCTGGTTTTGTTCATTATGTTTGTTATCCGTAAGAAACTTCATCATCGACGATTGACCAGTATTTTCTTTTTTAGATAAATCTGTGATAAAAATATATATATTAAGAAACATTAAATAAATTTATTTTAATAAATATAATTAATAAATTAAGGAATTAATAAAAAAGAAAAATCGAAAGATTTAAATTTACTTCTAAAGCTTACTTTCTTTTTGTTTCATTCTAGATATTTGTTTCTTTTTATTAATATCTTTCTTCTTCTTGTTCTTTACATTTGGTGTTTTTGGTGATACTATAATATGTATCTTATGACACTCTGGGGTAAATTGATTTGGTATCATTCGAGGATCATTCTCATATAAGGAAGAAAATATATTGCTTGTATTTAATATTTTGTTGTTCAATGAGTCTCTTCTCGAAAGCGTAGATTTCAAATTCTGCAAAGTATTTTAAGTAATTAAAGTACATGTATAAAAAATGAAAATAGAATCTTTAGTTACCTCGTGTTCTTTTCCGTCCGTAACGAGAACGATTATATGACCGTCTCGTTTGCGTCCTGTTCTGCCCATTCTTTGAACAAGTCTTATTGGGGAATGCTGCGATACATCAAAGCATATTATTAGATCTACTTCCCCTACGTCCAATCCTTCTTCACCTATATTATACATTATCAAAGAATTAATGTAATTTAATTCTTAATTTTAAAAAATTAAGAATTATAATCTTTATTTAATCTTTATAATTCTTAATTTAAAAAAATTAAGAATTATAAAGATTAAAATATAATGTAAAATAATTAACATTTTTTATTGTTGCAGTTTTTTACTCACCTATACTTGTTGAAATCAACACATTCACGCGATTGTTTCGAAAATCTTCTAATGCTTTTATTTGTTGCTTCTGTTTTTGACCAGCTTGGCCAACAAACATTTGTGGCCTAATTATAGGTTTTGATTGCATAAGCAAAATATACACCTCATTGACTATGTCTCTGTACTGAAAATTTATAACATATTAAACTTTTTAAATATTAATCGCTTTTATATATTTTTTCCAACAAACAGTACATATAAATAAGAATTTAAGAGGCTACTATACAAACTTCGACAAAAACTATAGCTCTCGTATCCTTTCGATCATCATTGTTGCTATTAAAATGATGTTCAAGTAATTCTTTTAATTTATGAAACTTATTATGTCCAAATATTATGTCCGTCGGTATCTGAAATAATTAATTTTATATAAATAGTATATATACACACACATATATATATATATATATATATATATATATATATATATTTCTAGTTTATTATAAAAATAATTTTGTAAACCTCAGATACATCTCCATTGGGATACACTTCTGGGAATGGTCCGAGATAAATTTCTATATCACGAAGTAAATTTTGTAATTGATCTTCGCTATTCATCCAAAATTTATCAGAGTGCGCTAAGAATAAAATTTTCTTTAAAAAATCGCATAGATTGATAATTATCTTAACAAGTCGCAGTATTATTTATAAAATTAATTGTAATAATTTAGAAATTACATACAACGTACTTGCGTAAAATTTACAGAAGGCACGCAATCCATGTCTAATCATGAGTTCGTAGGCGTGATACATAGTAAACAATATAGTCAATGTCTTCATAATTTGTCCATAATTACCAGACTTATCCGTTTTCGTTTTGAATTCTCTCATCAAGTGGAATATCTAATAAGCACATTAAATGCTTAAACTATATACATCAATAAATCATAGATTTAGAGAAATATATGAATGTAAATGATGAATGTAATTAGAGCGAGTGTGGCATAATGGATAGCGCATTGATGTGCTATGCTAGAGATCCTGTGTTTGATTCTCAGTAGAATCAAAATTTTTATACGTTCATCTCTTCTTTCGACGGTCTGGTAAACCAAAAAGTATTCTTGCCCACGGAACCTCTTCAAAAGTTTGCCGTGTGTACATCACAGGCATATGAGAAGGAGAACAAGCTCTAAGCCTATATATAGAAGAATTTAATTACCCTTCCTTTAGATATGTTTGCAGTATGACCTCGCAATACATTATATTGCATAAGAAATCTAACGTGGCGATCCATGATAATAATGTATCTTTCTTTGAATGCAGCTAATTCATCACTAAGGGGTACCAAAATAATATCTACTTTTCTTTTATTAATATATGGCATTATATCAATTGAATTCTCCTCTCTCAGCTCCAAATGGGAGATATGTAAATTCTGTATTACCTACAAGCAACAAAATGTCCATTAGAATATCAAAATCCTTTCTTTTAACTTCCAGTAAAATTAAATATTTAATATTTTATATAATATTGAGTTATTTACTTCATGAACATTATCTATTTTATTTCCAGGCGTAGCAGAAAGCGCCAATATTCTAAAATATTGATTCTGTGTGGATAGTATTTTGATACACTGAAAGTCATAAATGTTATTAATATCTAGTAATAACAATGAATAATTCTACATTTCTTATATCTTTTTACCTCGGAATACGAATGTTTGCCCAAAGCCTTATGAGCTTCATCTATGACAACACATTTGATTAAATGGCTAGGTACAATCAACTTCTCAAGATCATTATGAAATACCTGCGGAGTGGCAAATATTATTCTTTTCTTAATCCAAGCTATTTTACGATTCTTTTGATTAACAGCACCTGTACATTAAATAATAAATTTATTATTATACAAGAGACATACAAACTCCAAAGTATATGAGCTTATTCACTGTTAAATAGATATTAAGACCTGTGAGTTCGATCATGTCAATGTTTTGAATTCCCATTACTTCGTAGCATGCATTGATTTGCTGGGCAACCAGAGGCTTGGTTGGTGCTAGGAATATAATCTTCCCAAATGGATACCATCTCCAGAAATTATACATCACAACAGCAGCAATGAAAGTCTTTCCCAAACCTATAACATGAAATTAAAGATACTTTTATATCAAACTGACTTGTTGCTAAAAAAAAATATTTCTCTTTTCTTACCAGTAGGTAAACAGACCAAAGTGTTATGAAATAATGCAGATTTAACTATATTATATTGGTACTGGCGGATCGGATAATTTTCTGGATATATCCAGGTGTTTCCAGTTGACAAATCAAATCCCATCGTCTCTGGATGGGTTGAAGTTTCCAGGTTTTGCAATTCCATTTCTGCAGGATTTTCTTCGATCTATGCACTCCAGGGATAAATCCGATAAATTGACAGCGATCACTTTTCAACATAATCGATATTAATTTCGAGAAATAAATGTTTTTTCAAGAGAAAACGCAGTATTACATTATTATATAAACGCTTCGAAAATTCGTGAATTATATAGACATTTTTATAGTAAATATTCCGATGGAAAGATGTTTAACATATGGAAATTTTTGTTGAAAATAAAGAATTATAAGTGTGTTTTTTGCAATTCACTCAATTCGATTTTTAACATATCCCTTACAGAAAAAAAACAATGAGAAATAAAGCAAGTAAGCGTGTTCAAACTCGATTATGTTACTCTAAACCGCTTTACAACAAATAAAATACAAGTCTTGACAAGTCCCAACTTTCAAGACTCAATGCGCCCTCTGCAAGAGGGCCCTCGGCAATAAATTGTTTCTTGCAGATAATCATGAGACACGAAATTATGAGCGGTATTATATTTTTTCGAATTATTTAATAATATATTCGATTTTCGAGATTTCCAGCCAAATCGAATCAGATCTCTTTTTTTCTTATGCTTGCTGTATAAACGGAAAAGTGAGTACTTCATTTGCAATGCATAAAAAATCTTTTAAAATGCGTTTAAAAAACATAATATTCTTTACATTAGATATGTGGTTGATCAATTTTTCTGTGTTTATGCATTTATGCGAATTTGTCCTAAATAGGTTATAAAGTATTATGTTCATGGGTGTATCCAGGATTTTTTTTCAAGGAGAGGTCTTTATCGATTCTGTTAACATAACAATATTAAAAAATAGCAATATTAATAAATTTGCTGAAGAAGCTCTAAAAATGCTCCCGTTAGTCGGTATAGCGTGACGTAGCCAATCAGGATCCTCGTCTTCCTCGATTTTTCCGTTCACAAATATCTCTGTCGCGTGAAATAGACATTTTCCTTAATTATTCCTTCACCTTTCCGCTGCATCCTGACGATTGTTACGTCATACACATAGATATGTCATCATGATTGACGACAGCCTAATTTCGCACCACGTGGTTTTATGCCGGTTGTGATAAATCAGCGTTCTTGGATGAGTGACACGTTACGGTGGCACGATCAGGCACGATGGCAAAGCATCTGGCAGATCAAATTTTGGAATATTTAAATACGCACGATGAAACGAATTCGTTGGAATTGGCGGACAAATTTCAGGAAGATCATCAGAAAATCGTGGGCGCAATCAAGAGCCTCGAGACAGTCGACAACGTAAGTTTTATTTTAATAACAGTGTCACTACAAATCGTCTGTAGAATCGTGGCGATTGTTTTTGCATATGCGATTAAATTAATGATGCGCTAATTAGTGCGTATCCATATTTTTTTACTTGCGAAGCCGTTCTCACACTGAAACCATTGCTTCAATCACTTTAATCTAGCATTCAATCTTAACCTATTTACAGTTGATCACGGTGAAACCGATCTCCAAAAAAAGATGGGAGACGACCGACGAGGGAGAACATATAATAAAGCATGGTAGCCATGAAGCAGTTGTTTATAATGCTGTTCCTGACAAGGGGATATCGGCGACAGAGCTTATGAAGTCTGGTCCTTATGCGAAAGTGGGTTTTTCTAAGGCGATGAATGCTGGATGGATTGAGCTTGATAAAAGCAAAGATACTCCTATCGTACGGAAGAAAGTATCATCCATTGTAGATACCATTCAGACGCATTTGAAAAATATAGAAAATATCCCTGACAATGTTAAAATGGAATACAAGAAAAGAAAGCTTTTGCAAGAGGTGTAAGTAAAAACAAATTCCAAAATGACAAAGTATTATGTGTTCTTTTTCATCTCATTTTTAACTCTTTTTTCTATATGACAGAATAATTAAGATTATGCATCTTGAAAAAGGACCAAATTTTTCTACCAAATTAGAAAAATTAGAAGCAGACTTGACATCAGATCTATTGATAAATGGCGCCTGGAAGGATAAGAAATTCAAGCCATACAACTTTGATGCTTTTGGTACAACACTTCAAGTTGGACACTTGCATCCTCTGATGAAAGTTCGTCATGAATTTAGGAAGATCTTCCTGGAAATGGGGTAAACAACATTAAATTTTCATCAAAATTTATGCTTTAAGAATCTAAGTTTCTTATACTTCAATTTTATTTTCTTGTCTTATATTATGAAATTTATTCTATTTCAGATTTACAGAAATGCCAACAAATAATTATGTAGAAAGTTCTTTCTGGAATTTCGATGCTCTCTTCCAACCGCAACAACATCCTGCTCGTGATGCACATGATACCTTTTTTATTTCTGGTATTTTATTAAAGATTGATATACAATATAATATTCAAAACAGAACAGACATTAGAAAATTAATTTTGACTTCTAGAACCTCGTGTTAGTACACAATTTCCTATGGAATATCTTGAAAGAGTGAAGACTGTTCATAGTAAAGGAGCATATGGATCTCAAGGTTATAGATATGATTGGAAGTTAGAAGAGGCGCAAAAAAATTTGCTACGCACTCACACAACATCAAATAGCGCGCGAATGTTATATCAACTCATGCAGAAGGTATATAGTCAAAGCTGAAATACACAAATTATTTTTTTTTTTTTAAGTAACAATGAATCAAAGACAAATGTTTTGTAGGAAGAGTTTAAGCCAGTTAAGTACTTCAGTATTGATAAAGTATTTCGTAATGAAACTTTAGATGCAACGCATCTCGCTGAATTTCATCAGATTGAGGGCGTTATTGCCGATTATGGTCTTACATTGGGTAATCTTATCGGCACTTTATATGAATTCTTCAGTAAACTCGGTATCACTCAGCTTCAGTTCAAGCCTGCATATAATCCATATACTGAACCGAGTATGGAAATATTCTGTTTCCATAATGGCCTAGGGAAATGGATAGAAATCGGTAATAGTGGTATGTTTAGACCCGAAATGTTATTGCCAATGAATATACCTCCCGAAGTAAATGTCATTGCATGGGGCTTATCATTAGAAAGGTATGAAAAATAAATATGACACATGATGTAATTTGATATACAAATATAACATATTTTATTTTAGGCCGACAATGATTATGTATGGTTTAAACAATATACGCGATCTTGTTGGGCCAAAAGTGGACATGGCAATGGTTCATAACAATCCCATATGTCGATTAGAGAAGTAAATATCATTCTAAGCATTATTCTAAGGTATTTATGTTAGAGCATATTGTTTTTTAAAACTAGGTAAGACATGTATAAAGTACAACTATAAACTACATGTATAAAGTACAACTTAAAAAAATATAAAATTTAAATGATTCTGAATAATATTAATTAAATGATGATATATAATTAAAGCTATAAATTTGTATTCCCGATTATTTTTATTATTTCTGTTTCAGAACTAATCGAGCAAATCGATTATCATGGAAAGTATCAGAGCAAGAGAAGATTAAAATACAATCATCTCGAGAAGTAAAAATCAAGCTGAGAGAAAAATTTTTAAAACAGTCACTTGTTATTTTTTGCGATCCAAAGCATCCAATTTATTTCATCGAGCTTTTTTTGCAATTCTTAAAGCCATATCTTCACATTTCTATGTCAACGCATATTCACTCTATGGTGACAAACTTCCCTAATGAGCTTGCTGACTTTGGATCATGTAATTCTAACGTGGATTCAGATATGTCTTTAATTTTAATTTGGAAACCTGTTGGAGTTGATCCTATTATGGTGCTACCTGGAATGCATAGAATTCTGGGAGTAGTAAATATAGCACGGTATTTAAATCGTTTGATCGAACAGATTGGTATAAATATACTGAAGTATGAAGGAAATGGTCCACTTTACGCAAGTAAGATAGATTCTTATTTGGACAAACTTCAACTTGCTTTATATGACATGGATATTGACGGATTGCAGACGATTTGTAAAAAATCACATTATCATGTAATGGGTAAGGATGTTTCAATAGTTGATCTTATTCTCATATCCATCGATAGGTATAAAAAGAAAACTAATTTATTAAATCTTATTTATTCTTTGAATAAGAATAAATTTTGTAATATAAGCCGTATCTAAAAAGAATTTCTATGTTTCCCATATTATAGATTTTCCTCCTAGTTTCCGTAGTATTCTGTAATTCTTAGCAACTCAATGTTACATTGATATACAACGATATATCAAAGCAGATATGATGTCACCATTAACCGCATTCAGAGCGATAAAAAGCTAACTGCAGTCAGAAACGTTACAAATGAAACGTGTGATATACATTTTTTGCATCAAAAATATATGTATCTAGTCATATAATTTCACGATTGGTGAATTTGTACGGATGCTACGCGTATGACGCAATGATCAGGGGTTTGTAGCAATTCGTTGCGCGATCAGAGGGCACCGTGGAATTTTAAGCTCTGATTTAAAGTATCGACAGCAGGTGGTCGCGGTGGCAGCGGATTCGTCCGCGGGCTTCTGTCGCGTCCGCATCGGGATTCGCGCGCGCTCGTACGTTCGCTCATTCACTTGCGAGATCGGAAGCGTCGCGAGCCGCGCATCATCGTCGGTCGCGTGTTCCATTCTGATACAAGTGACACGCAATGTGTGAGAATCAGCCTAGTGGGCGCCGCATCGTGTAAAGAGCGAGGAAACGGGAAAAGAATAGAAGTAAAAAAAAAAAAAGTGAGCGCGCGAGGCACGCGAAGCGTGCGTGAAATTGCGTATTGACGATATCGCGCCGTGTTCTCGAGCGATTCCTCGGACCGAAGAGTCAGTCTCGGGTCTCAGGTGAAAGAGCCCTTCGAGGAGAGGAGAGGTTGTGTTCGACGGCGCGCGGTACGCGCGAGCGAGAGGAAGAGCGCGTGTATTGTACGTACGCGCGCTCGCGCGCGCGCGTATTGTGCATGCATGCGTGCGTGCGTATGTAAAGCGACACGGCCGAACTAGCACGGTGTGCTTTCTCCTCTCTTTCTGCTGCACGCAACAATACGTACGTCGGTGAAAGAGCCGCGAGCGCGAATTTTCGTGCGTGCGACGACCAACGTTGAACTAGACGAGTGATCGTGTGCCGCGGCGAAGAGGAAGAGGAGGAAGAGGAGGAAGAGGAGGAGGAGGAGAAGGTCGTGAACTCGCGAGCGAGCGAGCGAGCGAGAGCGAGAGATTGTTCGAGAAACGTCGACGGCGATTGTGCTAGGGGTTCTACTAGTGGTGGCGTGCACGGATCCCGTCTGTTTGTCAAGGTTAAAGAAGACGGGACGATACCGTCGCGTCGTGCGAGATGCCCCGCTAAAATGGCGGTGATCGGCACCGTCGTCGACTGATAAAGACAGAGTGAGAGAAAGAAAGAAACAAAGGGAACAGAGAACTACAAAGAAAAAGACAATCTTTGCGGCCGCGCTCGTCCGCGGTTTTGTTTTGACACCGCCGTGCCGCAGCTATCGGCCCTTCATTTCGCGCATCTCTCCCCTCCCCCTCTCTCTCACTGACCCCTTCCCTTTTACCATTACCCGTCCTCGTCGTCTCCTTGTCTATCACGTTCCGCCTGCATTCACGCCATCTCTGTCGAACTGTAGTTGCGAGTGACTATCAACGTGCGACGGCCACAAGAGGATTGAGAGGAGTCCGTCGCGGGGTGTACGTTAATGAAAGATCCGACGAGGCTCGGAATAGCGGTAGCAGTGCGGTACGACAACGGCGGTTACGCGACAAGTGGTCTTGAGTTCGCGGGTTCGACGCGACCGCGATGCCCGTGCCGCATCGCCACGCTGCTGACGTGAAGAAGCGCACCGGACGGGACTTAAATTTGACGGAAGAGGAGACTACCAGTAGCGGCAGCGCTACGTTATCACAAAGAGAAGGAGAAGTCGAGAGCACGGAAGTACGACGGCACATCGCCAGGTAAGAGAGGGAGAAGGGTAAGAGAAAGATAGAGACACACGTCGCCTCTCTTGCTCCCTTTACGAGAGCGCGATTCTATTTTTTTCCTCTCTTTGTGTCTTTTTCTTTCTTTTCCTTCCTATCTCTCGACTCGAGAAAAACTCTCCCTCTGCGTTTAACCGTCGCGTTCAAAAGAGGCATCGCGCACGCCTCTTTTCACCTTCAAACGTTTATTTACGAGGGCGCACGGGTCTCCCGAGCGCTGGCAGTGTGACCGATCGCCGCCAGGGTGTTGTCATTCGATCTGTTGTCAAGTTCACCATTGTTCCTGCGCCTCGATGGAATAGGTTAGAATCTCCCTATATCGCCGATGACTATGCAGATTAACGCGTGATCTCGTTTCGTCCTCTGTGAGATACGCTCTCTTTCTCGCGTGGCAAATTTTATGCGCAGCGTCGCGGAACAGCCGTCACGGAGTGAACGCCCGGGCCGAGGGATGTGATTGATGCGAGGTACAAAGGGTAGGTCGACCCAGATAACGCGGTAGAATCGGGCATTAAAGAAGGAAGTAAGGAAAGGAAAAAAAAAGTCGCTTTATGTTGCAATAGGTTCATAATGTTGTGTTGGCTTGCGTCGCATCGTGCGTCGTACATCGCGATTTGCAAATATCACGAAGTACGTACATAAGGCTTGCTCGCCTAAATACGGTTTCGACGTAGTCAACGCATTCTCTCCTTCCTACCATCGAGTGCATGTGCGCACGTATATTTCTGACCGTCGTAACATTTGTTCCTTAAATTCTTTTGTAGTCACAATAGTTTTTACAAAATTGTAAAACGGAAGTCGAAGTGGAAGTGGAAGTTTAAGGTTATGGAGATTAGAAAAAAAGAAATGTCTTGGACACAATTCTAAGTTCTATTCTTTATAGCTCAATTATACAATTGTACTTAATATGAAATAGAAATTGTACTTAATATGAAATGTATATTTAAACTTTGGCAAAAATGAAAAAGAAGATTTTAATATAATCTAAAGGAACAATGAAGAATAGGCATAGAATCTTTTTCCTTGGTGAAATATCACTTATATTTTCTTTCAAATGTAATCTAGAAAATATACACAGATTTGTTAAGATTTTTCTACATATATGCATTTATTTTTATATCTTAACTATAAAAAAAGTAGTAAAGAAATAGGTATAATTTAGGTAATCTTTAACATCTTCTAAATCAAAGAAGTTTCTCTGTGATTATTTCAGTAAGTTTCTAGAAATTTGTGAAATATTTTTATCCTTATTATCTGTATAATGAATACATGTTCAGATCTGTATAATGAATACATGTTCAGAAATGTTTTATAGTACACGAATGAAAGATGCTTATGATTAATATGTTTATAATATGTTTATCTATTACTAATGATATGATATCTATAAAATATAAAATAACCTTGCTGATATGACATGATTGTTTATATTTTATCTTTTTTTTTTAATGATAGAAAATTTTTATTTTTGCATTTCTGTTTTAATTTTGTTCTTTGTATTTTCTTTTATTTATAAGTAAATTGTTAATTTTAAGTAAATATTTTTGTAAAGTTTATAATATTTCTGTGTTTTTATTTTAGATATTAAGTTTGGGAAGTATATATTAATATACCAAAATGAAGATCGATCGCAGTAGATTGAAAAAATGCACTTCTGAAGTGGTAAGTATTACATATTTTTATTTAAATAAATGTTAATTTTTATTTAAATATTTAATGAAATAATAAGTTTTATATTTTTATTCAGAATTATATGTGGTAATAAATATTTTTAAATATTCAATAAAAATTTATTTTTATTGATAATTTTTTATTATTATATGATTACATATTAAGTAGAATTGAATTTCTCTCAGCAAATTGTATAATTTAATGATTTTTTTGTACAAATAATTATTTCAATCTATTATATGTATAATATTACCAAGATAATATTAGTTCGTTAAATATATTTAACTACATATTATATCTTGAAATATAAAAATTAATGATGTACATGTATACAAATATATGTGTTCACTTTATTTAGATTAAATATATTGAAATTAATTATGTATAATGTGTTTAGCCTGCAGAATGCCAGGCACTCATAAGCAAACTACGCTCTTGTTCACACGCGGAGCTGCTAGAAGAACTAAAGCAGATAGATGCGTGGACATTTGGGAAATGTGAATTATTTCATTGGATTGATGTCTTAGATCTCAGTGACAGTATTTTAGAAGAAGCTGCAGCAAGGAGTCCGGATAATCCATGGGAATTAGCGTGTGATCTTCCTCAAAATAGAGAGGTTTATTTAATAAGCGATTTATTTTTATTAATACTAACATTGACTTGAAATATATATTATCTTAAACATTATTTCTTGTAATCAACTTTAAAATTCAGCTGATTAATAAAATAATTCACATTATTAATTTGATAGGCAAAAGAGCTGCTTCTTTGGGTTCTTCACTTTACAACATTATTAATTGAGCATTCATTCTCACGGCATTTGTACAACAGCATGGAACACTTGGTTACTTTATTATCAAGTTGTAACATGAATGTAGTTCTTGGTGTATTAAATCTTCTATACATGTTTAGTAAACGCAGTAATTTTATTACACGTTTAAATAGTGACAAACGACAAGCTTTACTCAGCAGGCTTATTCACTTAGCAGAGGTTAGTAATTGTAATTATATTTTATTAATACAATTTCAAGTTTTTATTTATTAAATAATAACTTGATTATTATAGAGTTGGGGAGGGAAGGAGAATGGTTTTGGTTTAGCCGATTGCTGCAAGGAATTTCCGGAAAAAGTAAGAATGCATATATGAGCATTGTATAACAATGGATAAAATTGAATTTTATAAATGATACATATACATACTTTTTATTTTACAGCCATTTCCAGCGAGTGCTACAACGTTACACTTTGAATTTTATGCAGAAAATCCGACTGTAGCCGAACCATCGGCAACTGGTACATCACTCTCTAGTACAAAGAAAGTTGGTCAAATGAATCTTGTAACATATATTCATATAGAAAATGTTGATAAACTTGGAAAAACCCCAGCACAGATTATGAACGATCTGTTGAAAGTTTATAACGTACCTCAGGAACGACAGGTAAAGACATTTACAGCTTTCTTTTTTCTCCATACAAATATACAGAGGATATTAATATGAAATAATTTGAAATATTTTTTAGATGGCTCTATTGACACACATAAGACTAGCGCATAGTTTTTCGGATTATCGAAGACGATTGCAGTGCGTGCAAGCTCGACTTCAAGCATTGTCCGTGCTTGTATACAGCAACGCATTACAGGAAAATGCGCATAGTCTTCTCCATGCTGGACTTCTCGAAGAGCTGGTTGAATTGTTGGAATTACCACATACACATCTTGTTGAGATTCGCGCAGCAGCATTGCGCACTCTTACCAGTATCATACATTTAGATCGTAATCCACACTTCCCTAAGTAAGTACGGACATCTTTTGATCTGTGAATTTGTTATATTTAATATATTAATTTTTATTTACGCAATTTCAGAAAACCAGGCTCGCGATTAAACATGATTATTGACGTTACTGGAGCTAGCTCATATCACGGCTTTTTACCCGTTTTAGTTCGTACTTGTATAACAACATTAACTTCGCCACAACCAGATGGGCAACCCTTTCCTCTTCCACTTGCGACAGCTTTATTTAGTTTTCTGTACCATCTTGCGAGTTATGAAGCAGGTGGAGAAGCTCTTGTAAGTTGTGGCATGATGGAGAGTCTCTTGAAAGTCATCAACTGGCCAGGAAGTGAATTGGAGCATATAACGGTACTGTTTAACAGAATAACATAATCGCATTTTCTTGCAACTTTATTACTAAGTAAAAGAATATATTATTAAATTTTTACGTTGTAAAATAACTTTATTATTTTATCTATGCATTTTTTTTCTTTTACAGTTTGTAACAAGAGCAGTGCGTGTCATAGATTTAATAACGAACATAGATATGCAAGGTTTTCAAACTCACAGTGGTTTAGCAAGTTTCATCAACCGTTTAGACATGGAAGTCAACGTATGCAGAAAAGAACAACCGTTTGAGATAGAACCACTGCTCTATCAAGATGCTCCACAAACCTCGCGTGAAAGATCGGTAGAAAGGGAGGAGGGATCTTCTACATCACGCCGCGAACACGAAACTTTTGACGAACGAGAAGAATCTTCTAATCCTATGGAAATATCGGAAGATGAAAATATGATTGCTAAAGCAGATGAAAAGAGTGAACAACAGCCAGACTATTCTGCTGCTAAGACTGGCAAAACATGTTTACCGCAACGGGCAGCACTTTTGAAATCGATGTTGAATTTTCTTAAAAAGGCAATCCAAGATCCGGCATTTTCCGACAGTATACGACATGTTATGGAGGGTACATTACCATCTTCTCTGAAGCACATTATAAGTAATTCAGAGTATTATGGTCCTTCATTATTCTTACTTGCTACTGATGTCGTGACTGTGTATGTTTTCCAAGAACCATCTCTATTATCATCTTTACAAGATAATGGCTTGACTGACGTTGTACTCCATGCTTTACTCATAAAAGAAGTAAGTGTAATAATTTTGCATAATAGCAAAATATTCTTTTTATATATGTAAAAACTTCTTATTCAAGAACGTTTGTTTTTAAAAATTATTAAAATTTGTTTTAATAATATTAGGTTCCTGCCACTAGAGAAGTATTGGGCTCTTTACCTAATGTGTTCAGTGCACTGTGTTTAAATCAACGCGGTCTTGAATCTTTCGTGAAGCGGCGACCATTTGAGCGCTTATTTAAAGTACTTCTTTCACCTGTTTATCTCTCAGCAATGCGACGGCGACGAAGTGCCGACCCATTAGGCGATACAGCTTCTAATTTAGGCAATGCCATGGATGAATTAATGAGGCATCAACCAAGCTTAAAAGTTGACGCTATTGCCGCTATTATTAAGGTATTTATTAAAAAATTGTTCTTTTCTTAATAACTAACTTTTTTGTTATTAATAACTAACTTTTACATATTCGTTTTATATATTTTTTTTTTATCATTAGTTACTCGAAGAGCTGTGTGTATTGGGCTGTGATCCACGATACATATGCTGGCGTGCAGCTAGTAAATCTGAAAATTCACCTTCAAACACAGCTTCGGGAAATCGTCAAACATCTGGTCAATCAGTCGGTGTTGGAGTAGGAGATTCTGGTGGTGGTGGTGGAGGAGGCGGCGGAAGTAGCAGTGATGAGGAGGAAGAAGATGAGGAAGAAGCGAGCACAAGCTCGCATCCTCAACGAGAGGAACAACCCAGCATGTCACCTCCGCAGCCTGGACCGCCACCTCAACCGAGAGAAAAGACTCCCATCGCTTTAGTGGAATATATCCACAATGTTATGAAATTCGTGGATGCTATTCTAAGTAATAATTCAACTGATGATCACTGCAGAGAATTTGTTGGTCAAAAGGGACTCGTTCCGCTACTGTCAATTTTGGGTCTACCTAATTTACCTGTTGATTATCCTGTTGCACAAGCGGCTCAATCTGTAGCCTCAGTATGCAAAAGTATTTTGGTATGTTCTAATTTCCATATAATTATTTTATCAAAATTGTATGTTTTTAACATATAATAATGTTACGATTATAATTTGATTTTTGTAGAATCTCGCACATGAACCATTAGTACTCAAGACAGGTTTGTCGCAATTAAATGAAGTGCTAAATTTGTTGAAACCACTTCACAGTAATATGGAATCCCCTGGTGGTTCCGTCTTATTACATGAACTTGCATCAGCTCCAAATCTGGAAACTGCATTTACAAGTGATACTGCTACGCCGTTGTTACATGCTATGAATGCAGCTCATGGATACGTAGTGATGTTTGTTCATGTTTGTCGTACCAGTCAAAGTGATATCCGAAATCTTTCTATGAATCATTGGGGTTCCGAATTAGGTTTGGCTGTTCTCAAAGGTTTGTCCGAACTTTACATGTCTCTTGTTTGGGAAAGTACTTTGTTGCTCGCGTTATGTAGCGAGGATATTATTCCGGCTGGATGTGAATTTGGCAAAGAAGATATGGACAAGTTGATGCCACCCGAATTAAAAACCGAAGGCGAACCATCTTCCTCTTGGTCTGCTACCGTATCTTCAGATATGGGAAGCAATGGAATGACAACAGCCATGGAAGCTCTTAGCACAGATCCTCCTCCAATACCGATGGAAGTAGATGACAAACCAAATGTGAACGATAAACCAAATAATTATCAGTTGAAATACATCAAACCATTATTGGGCGCTTCTTCAAGGCTCGGTAGAGCGCTTTCAGAATTATTTGGTTTACTGGTCAAACTTTGCATGGGTTCTCCTGTGAGACAACGTAGAGGACAACAAATGCCCTTAACGCCTACGTTGCCCTCTCAGGCGGCACGGAGCGTTGCCACTGCTTTGAATTGCTTACTGACGCGTGGCTTGTCGTGGGATAAATTACCTCCATCACCGATTCCGAAGTTTAAACTTACTTTCCTTATATGTTCAGTGGGATTCACCTCACCGATGCTTTTCGATGAAAAGAGACATCCTTATCACCTAATGCTCCAGAAATTCGTCAAACTGAATGGTCAAAATGCATTTTTTTCAACTTTTCATTGGGCGCTGTCGGGTGGAGGTCAATTTGCATTGTCCGATGGATTGGAACACCCTAATCTACCAGATGGAACAGGTGAATTTCTGGATGCTTGGCTGATGCTGCTGGAAAAAATGGTCAATCCTAAAGCCATCTTGGATTCGCCTCACGTGGTCTCATCGAAATGTACGGGAATATATAAAGTATGTGAAACGTTCGATCCAATAAGATACCTTATCGATATCCACAAAAAAGCTTTTGAAGCGGTAATGTTAATGTGGGGCAAAAAACCGCTCAAAAATTACGGAGCCCGCATGACAGAATCCATTTTATCGATCTTACGACATATTCTACGTGGTGAGAAGATAATCAAAGAACGTACAGAGAAGGAAGAGAACGGAGACGCCGCAATAGCTAGCGGTAGCGGTGCGAGTGGTGTCGGCAGAAGCGGTGGATCTGACCGCAGAGATGAACCAGAGGCCGATGTAAATCCAGAATATCTGAGACAGTTGATGGACATGGGCTTCAGTCGTGCGCATTGCATAGAAGCGTTGTTGCACACAATGACTGTGGAACAAGCTACCGATTATCTTCTGACAAATCCCGCGACTTTACGTAGACCTGACGCTCCAGCGAGCGATGCAAGCGGCCAAGGCTTGATTATGGATTTGGAATTGGCGGACGACGATCAAATAATGCACGCTATTGCGATGTCACTTGGTGATACAGATACGCGTAAGATATCAGGTATCGAGGAGATTCCTTCCCGTGAAATAACGATTACGGAGAGTATAGACGAGTTCACGCGTAGTGCGCTAGGACAGTGTCTCAATCTGTTGGATCTCATGCCGGATACAGTGTATAGGATTTGCGACCTATTGGTGACGATCACGAAGCGAAACGGTGATGAATGGCGGGACGATACGTTGCGGCAGTTGATACGTGAGGTTGGTCATTTAGTAGACTATCTGATTGATATCGCTGAGAGCCAGGACGAGAACGCCGGTGCGCGATTAGTGGAATGTGAGGAGGCAAATAAGCTCTCCGGTCGCCTTTACCTCTACACTCTCTTTTTCGAGGGTTCGTTCCAAGAGATGAGAGTGCCGTGTGCGCTTATAGTAGAGGAATGCGCGATACTGGACAAACTTGTACGGTTATTGGTGGTGAGCGAGGCTCCACTTACCGCGAATAAGAACAGAATCGCTAAGGACTGTAAAGATACCAGCGCTGTGTTGAGCATGAAGACACCAAAATGGTTAGCACCATTATTACTTCTTATTGATCGCTTGGAGAAGGTGGCCACACTCACGCAGCGAAAACAAATGATGCATAAGATCACGACTCGTGCATGGAAATGGTTTGATTTGAGTACAGGCAAGTGGACTCTCTATTCACCCATGAATAATCGAATCATCAATGACGCGTACTGGGCCGGCGAGTCCAGTGTACGGATATCTTGCAGTAGACGTCGATACCTTATTACTTTTTCCTGCATGACACAAGTGAACGAAGACAGTGATAACAGACGACCTATTACGATGGGTTTCAAGCTGAATACAGATAAAGAGGACGGTGGCTCGGGTTCTGATTCGAATATGGATACAGACGAAAGTCCGGTAGGGGAAGAGAGACGAAACACGGTGGTCCAAGGATTGGATCCCAGCATAGCACCGAGTATCGTACGGTGAGAGATAAATACTAACGTAACAGATATATCCGATATGTATATAACTAATTATTTAAATGTCAAAAAATTTAAAATTATATTTCTAATTTTTGAGATTCTCTTTATGGATAATCGACATTAATATTTATTTATGCAAGTATTTTAGTTAGCCATTTTCCGTAATATTTTTTGTGATTATTATTTCACAATAATTCTTTATAAAAGTATTATATATTAATCAAGAGTTTTAAGATATAAATATTTTATAAGCATTGTTTATGTTACAGTGCATGTGTAAAGTTTTTGGCAATCCCGGTCGATCGAGACGCATTACACGCTGTATTGAAGGTATGCTTACGATTAACGAGAGATTATCGAAATGCGGAGGTGTTTGCACGTGAGGGTGGTGTCAAGTTACTTCTTGAAATGACACAAATGTGTAGTTTCACTGGTTGCATTAATTTGTGTACGTTACTGATACGACATACTCTTGAGGAACCGCGCACACTTCGTCTCGCAATGGAGAAGGTATTTGCATCTGTCTTTTATTTTGCGTACATTAATTCCGCGCATGTAATGATACGATTGTTCATTTACTTCTGTTTCAGGTTATTCGTGCACGCACGCAGAGCAACATACCTCCTGCATATAAAGAGATTCTTTTCATGACACGGCAAATTAGTAGTGCCGTTTGTCGTAATCCGGAAGTGTATAAAGAAGTGTGCGAGAATATTCTTAGAGTTGACATAAGTTGTTTAAAAAGTGAGTTTTAATTAAGAATGACATTTCGGATTTATTAATATGAAACACTTCTGACGATTTTGTTTTCTAATTACATTTTTATCATTTTGCAGAAGATGACGTTGACAATAGGCTAGTCGTCAAAGCCTTACCTCCTAGTCATTCTCCAGCATTACCAATGGTAGAAGAAGTATCCGTAGGTGTTATCCGTGATATGTTGAACGCCTTAATTAAGCCAATGCCGGTGTCATCGGATGATGGATCAGCCACTCCAACGAGTCCTGAAAAGAAGACATTGCACGCAACAACTTCATCAATGGGTAATCCATCATCATCATCAACATCATCACGACGAGATGTACTGAGAAATAACGCAACGACTACCAACGATCCCTTGGATGACGATGATCAAGTGTCACAAATTATTCCTTTAAAAATCTATACCGACATTGGTAACAACAGCAAAGTAGAACCAGAAGAAGCGAAGAAGCCTATCTTAACGAAGTCGGCGATATTGAAAATACTGGCTGAAGCTGTGAGATCTTATGGCGCTGTAGCTAGTCTTATTACCGAACATACGTACAGAGCTGGACAAAGCGAGATGGTACCTGAGGATACAACAGCTTTAGCGTTCTTATTAGATAAACTTTTGCCAATGTCTCCGGAAAATTCAGGCGATCGAACGTGCAGCAGCATGGCAAGAATGTTGATTGCTGCTATTGCATCATGCAATCACTCGCCAGACGTACAAACGACTTTGGTAACTGAGGTGAAGGCAGCCTTGACGAGAACACTCGCGCTTCCGGAGAGTTCCGAGAAGCACGCACAACTTCAGCTATTAATTGGATTGATATCCACCATGATCGACAGTTGTCCGCCCAATATGTCGCATACTCAATTGAGGGCTTCTTTAAGAGCTCATCAATATAACAACGTCAATTATATCGTCAGAATAATGCTTAGGAAGGGTATAATCACCGACCTGGCCAAAATACCGCACAGTCTTGATTTATCGAGTCCGAATATGGCCGGCACTATTAACGCCGCGTTAAAACCACTAGAGACTTTATCGCGCATTATTAATCAACCAATGCCGGGCGCGGTCAATAATAAATTTACAAAACCGAAAAATAGGACAGTTCAAGAAGAACCGATTGGAGAACAGACGGGCACTACGACCTCGGAAGCTACGCATGCCGTGGGGGAGGAGGCCAATGAAGACGCGGAAAATACTGAACATGACATCTCTGTAACAGCGGAAAGTTTGGAACCCACTTCAGAGAGTCAGGTACACGAAGAAGGGGATGAGGCTGCACTGGAGGATATCATGGATCAACTGCTTGAAAGGTAACGAGATGCAAATTAATGATTAGCAGAATTCGATGAACGTTATGCAATTCTACAAAATGTCTCTTTGTATTTGATTAAAATGTCTATGCAGCAATGACATCATCATGGCAGATAAAAAATCATGCTGAATATTACTGTATGAATAAAATTTAAAATAATACGCTCAGATATGATACAAATTATATATTGCGTAATGACGATGTTCCTTTACATGTAACAGACGTTAACAAAGTACTCTCCTTGCACGAATTGTATTTTATGTGATTTTATTTTGTAAAACATATAAGATCCAATCTTTTTGAGTCATTAGCAATCATGCAATTTGTTAATCATGAACACACGTTCATATAGATTTTTTTTTTTTTTTTAATTTAAGCATGATATGTATTTTTTCCTGGCTGTTCAGATGTGTATTTCTTGTGTTTTATGTGTTGCACACGTTCGCGAATTTTTTTATTTATTTAGTAGCCCTTTAAGTTTGTGAAAGCTACAGTACTTATAATCAAGTAGTGTACTCTTTTCCAGGGACGGCTCGGCCGTGGCGGAAGAGCCATCTTCTCGCCCGCATAGGCCAATGGACATTGACGATGAAAGTCTCGCGATGCGCGACGCCGAGGGCGATTTCGATCCGACTCGAGATACCACAGTAAGAGTAACGTCGCTTTTTATTTTTTCTCGTGTAATTAGTACTTCCATTTTATTTTCTGAATTTACAATGGATTTTATTTTAGGAGGACTTAATGAGCTCTGATTCGGATTCCGATAGCAATCAGTCTGATGATAATGAGGACGAAGTGCAGGATGATGAGGATGAAGAAGAGGAAGAGGAAGATGATGGTAGATAAAGCTTAACGTCAACCGAAGAAAGATTGTACATCTTTTATTTTTATTTACATTATTATTTACATTATTAGGCGAAGAGAATGAAGAAGAGGAAGAGGAAGAAGAGGAGGGATCGTCCAATTATGAAGAGGATGGAATAGATTTTTATGAAGATACTGGAGAGGGTGGTGTTTTTCGTATGTTCCCCTCGTCCGAGCGCGATGGTGGTAATGTTGTAATGATACAACACAACATTGAAAATCAAGATATTGCAAATACGTCAACGCCAGTTAATACGCGACCTAGTCTTCCATGGAATACCACATTCCCGTTACCATTAGGTCTGTTTGAAGAGCCCCCTGCAGGTTCTGAGAACAATGGTAAATAGGAGCGAAAATAGATAATTACAGTCGGAAATTCTTGGCTCATTAGGATCGAGCAATCTCTCTATTCTCGACTTCAATTTCCCCTTTACTTTAATGTATAGGATAGGTTTTTATACATTAAAATGAATTACATTTTATGTTACTCATGCTCATACAATTGTTGTTTATGAAAGCTCAGCTAGTCGAGAATAGGAGTATTGATATGAAAATTCGACTGGGTTTTTTTTCTCTCCTTTTTTTCTTTTATTTTTCAATTTTTTAATTTCTTGCACGATTGTGTAAAGAGTAAAGTTGCACGATTTTGATACAGGCATCAGTACTCATCCACTGTTAATATCGCAAGGAAGTTTGGATACTGCAAGTACTAGAACGCAACGTGCTTTACGACATAGGCGGTATCAGTATCTCCAGTTATCTAATCCACGTAGTTCGAATCCTCCTGTAATATTACAAAGGTATATATTAGTGAAAGATTCTGTCTCGTAAATATAATAGTAAACAAATTATTTAATATATGTGATGCAGGCTCCTAGGTCCTGCTGCACAGACTCTTCCCTTGTCTGCTAGTCAGGTTCTAGCATCAAGTTTTAGAGATACCCGTGTTGTCGTAATGGATAATGGGCTGGGTATATTTACTAATCAAGAAGAAGAACAGATTGATTATGTTGTATGTACATAACCATAATTCAAAATGAGTAAACACATATGTAAAACGAATGCGAATTGCAATGCTCAACTTTTAAATGTCTACAGGATCAATCTGGATATCTTTTTGGTCCAAGTTTGGCTGCAACTTTAAATAATATACCAACCGCATTACATTGGTGGATCGAAGAAAGTAAGCAATTAGATGGAGATTCTCAACCAGATTGTTGCGTAGGTAAGGACGGGTTTGTTTTGATTGTGTATTTTTATATTGTGTATTTTTATATATAGTACAATTTTATTAACTTACTTTTTGTTGCATTGAAAGGTATTGTCTACAAGTTGATACCTGGATTAGAAAAGCACAGAAATGCCGAACTTGCCGAGCGCAAAGAGAAACGTAAAAAACAACATGGATCTGAAAAAGAAAGCGAAAAGGAAAGCGAGAAAGATAATAAAGAAGAAAAGGAACGTTCAAATAATACGGAATGTAAATATGCCATATTTTTCTCCATATTCATAAATATTTTATATATGACAAACACATTTAGAATAATACATTTAAATGCGATAATAACAAGATTCTTAAAATTACTTTTTTAGCCACATTGCCCAGTTTAACACTGGATGAACAAAGGCCATCTGCATCGACCTCACAAAGACTCGATGTCTTTCCACTTGTAGCCAGGGAAGAAACCGCTGTGGAAACTACAAGGCAGGAGCGTACTCCGGAGGAAGACATTATCGGTATAGCCGCGTGTGGCAAGATAATTTTTTTATATTTATTTTTAATGAATATTATATACGCGTGTTTCTATGTGTTTTTTACATACTAGATGTAACAGGTGAAATGGAAGTGACGGTTCAAGAGGATGAGGAACGGCCGCCTCCGCCACCACCGGAGGAACAGTCGACATCTGACAGCAGAGATCCTCGCACGGCAAATCGGAATCCCACTTTAGAGCTGGCTGAAAGTATTGTCGACTCTGTGCTGGGACCATGTACATCTGAAGCGACCATCAGACTAAGTAATATATAGTAATATTTTAAAAGTAACTAAAATTCTTTGAGAATATTTAAAATGCTATTAACTGTAAAAATATCTCATTATATTTCTGTTTTAATTATTCTATGTCATGAATCGGGTGCTATTTTCTCGGGGTAACTGCACCCTAAAAATCAAAAACTTGCTCGGTTCGGTTAATCCTTATCATTAAGTTATTCAGAGTATATATACTAATATTTCGTCATTAGACCTACATGTGTCTAATGACGCGCCTACGCATCTTGCTCCAACAGGACAGTCTGGACGAAGTAATACAGAAACGGCGAATGCCGCCGAATCATCCAATCGCTCTTCTACCGCTGCACCATTAGTAGTAGATTTCGGTCAAGAAACTAGTGAGGATCTGTCGAGAGAGAGCAACGATTCAGCCGATTGGATACGAAGACTCTTGACGGACGATAGTCAATGTCGAACGAGCGACATTGACTTACGACGTGTTGAACGAAAGTGAGTATTGCAAATGTGATAAACATGTAAATGCAAATTGCAATAGTACTAATGTGAATGCGTAATGTGTGTAGCGCCAACGTTGTTAATCAAGATCCGACATCTTCAATTACGACCGAAACCGCCACGGCGGCAGGAACTTCCGATCAATCTTCACAGCAACCTTCGCAACAGCAGTCACAACAGCAATCTAGCAATCAGGAACAACAATTACCGGACGGTGTAGATCCGTCGTTCCTGGCCGCTTTACCAGAGGATATGCGAGACGAAGTGATCGCCGAACATCTCAGGTTAATTGATGTTCTTACTCTAATATTTGTATATTATGGTAGCAGTATACAAATAATGAGTAATATGTCGACAGACTTCAACGTATGAGGCAGCGCGCACAAGCTTCTGTGGTCGAAGAACTTAGCGGACCCGTTGAAGTAAATCCTGAATTCCTGGCAGCTTTACCACCAGCGATACAAGAGGAAGTTTTAGCGCAGCAACGCATGGAACAACAACGACATGCGGCTGCTTCGGCAAATCCGGAAGATCCTGTCGATGCCGCAGCGTTCTTCCAAAATCTACAACCTTCTCTTCGACAAGCTGTTAGTACCCTCAAATAGATTTACTGTTTATTTCAAAATACGTTTTATCTCTACTTTTAAAACTGTAATATTTATTTCTACAGATCTTGACTGACATGGAGGACTCTCAAATATCCGTCCTTCCACCGGATTTAGCTCAAGAAGCTCAAAATTTGAGAAGAGAATGGGAAGCACGTAATCGACATATGATGCAGGAAAGATTTCTCAATCATGTTAGTCAAAGTAATACCGCTCTCTCGAGCATATTAAGAAATTCTGGTAGAGGTAAGTTTTTATTGCAGTTAATATTAGATTATACATAAATATTTGCATTAACATGAAATAAGATTTGTGTGTAAAAATAAATTTATATGAAAATTGTAATATTTTTATAGCTCGAGGAGGTGGTACCCGATATGCCATTCACGCAGTACCACAAAGATCTCAATGGAGTGCCTGGAATGCTCGAGGTGATACAAATATGGCTCATCAAGGAGCTGGTTTACGATTAAGAGGTCGACAATTACTTGATCATGAATCGATGGCTTGTCTATTGGTGTTATTATTTGTTGATGAGCCAAAAATTAACACGCTCAGACTTCACAGAGTGATTAGAAATCTTTGTTATCACGGCAGTACAAGGGAATGGATAGTAAAGGCATTGCTGAGCATTATGGAAAGAAGTAATGACGAGAGCAAAGATATCATGGCAGATTTTGGTGGAAAATTTAAGAGAAAGGGATTATTAAATTCTCCCATGGATTTATGGTAAGATTTTTCTCTAGAAGAATTGATTCTAAACAAAATATTTGTATTCATCACAGTGATAAAATATCTAATAAATCATTTTTAGTTCTCCAAAGATTTTTGACCAAAGAAACAATACACAATCGTGGCTGAATATTAGTATTGATGCTGCACTTGGCTGTAGAGCTAACGTATTCCATATAGTACGTCATGCCGGTAAAAAATCTGAAAGGCAAGGTAATATTATTGCGATTCATCCGCAGGCAGCACCTACCGTTTGCAGGTCAGTATATTAAAATAGTATTCAAATCAGAATAAAAAGAATTATTGAAAATAATTCTGCTATTTTCCTTCCATTATTTTTAATAAAACATCTTGATTTCTTTTTATTGAATTGTAGACACACCTTAGAACTGTTGATATCACTAGCCAAGAGTTTTCCTGGATATTTTGTGCCAATCAAATCTAAGGACTCAGACGATAAAGATACTAATAAAGAGAAGGACGTAAGTGGCAGCAAAGAGGAAAGCGGAGCGAAGAATAAGTCAGCGTCAAAAGTAGGAAGGAGTGATCTTCCAGATTTCTGGGATTTGCTTCTGAAATTGGATTCGTGTGCGTCAAAGAAAGGAAAATCTGTTGCAAGGACTCATTCAAATACCAATTTGGGAAGTGAACCAGAACATGGCACAACTACATTTGAAGCTTCCGCATTCGGTCAACTTATCTCAATGCTCAACTGGTCTGTGATAAAACGAAGCAGTCAATTGACAGATAAGTTGCTGCGACTTTTGTCCTTGATCTCTATTGGCTTGACGGAAGTGAATCCCTATCGACGACAAGATGGTGGTGCAAAGAATAAAAAGATGGAACTTAATAAGGATCAAAGTGTCGCTGCACCAGAAGGGCACCTTAAATTGGCCGTGCAAGTTTTGACTAGTAAAAGTTGCTCTGAAGATGGACTTGAAGATGCAACTGCATTGCTACTTAACTTGTCTCATTGCCCTGATCCTACCAGACAATTGGTATGTAGTTTTACATTATCTAGATTAATATAAAAGTATTAAAGAGTTAGTATTAAAGTGTTAATATATTTTCTTCTATCTATATCTTTTTTCAGATATTAAAATTACTCTTGGAGGGTGCAATGGAATTGGCAAATATGGTCTGTGAACATATCAACGATTTGATGATGGAATTAAAAGTTCTAAATCGTGAATTAAGTCGAAGAAATTCCTTGGAAGATCAACCATCGACTAGTAGCGGGAATGGACGAGGAATTTTATTAGATAGGTAAAATATTTTTGTAGCAAGGATTTTGCACGCAGCAACGATTTTGCAATTAAAATATGTCAGATCCATATGCTTTGCACTTTCGAAAAGCGATATATATATATATGTGTGTGTGTGTGTGTGTGTGTGTGTGTGTGTGTGTGTGTGTGTGTGTGTGTGTGTGTGTGTGTGTGTGTGTGTGTGTGTGTGTGTATTTTTTTTATAAAAAATTTTTTTTCAGATTCACTAATGAAAATGTAGTCGTCACAGCACCGAGTAAAGTTAAAGCCGGAAGTGATCTTCAATTACCATCAATGGCTGCTCTCGTCAGTAAAACCTCTAGTCAGGCGTTCTTCTTGAGAATACTTAAAGTTATCGTGCAAATAAGAGAAGCGGTGCGCTTAGCGAATACCAAGAAAACAAGTACGTATTTATTATAATTTTACGTTTAGATAAATTTCTAATTTTTTGTCATTTTGGTTAAATTTATAATATTTACGAGTCAAAACTTTTTTTCAAGCCAATCAAACAATAGAGGCAGCCATGGATACAGGCACAACAAGTAATGCATCAGAGACAGGTACTTTACATTTCGTTATATTATTATATATATTATATATTTATTATATATAATCATATCTTAAAGTTTACATGCAAAATTAATATATTTTGTAAAATTAATGTATTAATATATTTATCAGTCGCCGACAATGCGGACACCGATGTTCCTATGGATACAACGCAAGCAAATACTTTAATTCTTGATAATTCAAAGACATCTTCTTCTCGCAATGGTAAGTTAAGCATATCGAAACTATAATACCGTGTATGCCTTATATGCCATAATATTTATATCTTTTTTTTTTTTTAGATGAAGAAAAAACTGCACTTCCATTATTGAGTGAGAGCTTAGTATTAGATAATTTATGGGAAACTCTTAGCGCTTGCTTGCTTGAATTAGAATACACTCCAGATCATCATGCCGTCCTCGTTTTACAGGTAAAAATTAAATTTATTATCTTAAATGCCTGTTATCATTAAATTATGTTATATTATATTTATTTATTATATTTATTATTATTATTTGTGGTATATATGTGTATATTTAATATTGCAGCCTGCGGTAGAAGCATTCTTCTTGGTGCATTCCTCGTCGAGTACATCTCGAGATCGAGACAGTCGTCTTAACGCGACTAGTGAAAATCGAGAAGTAGTCCCAGACTTAGCACCAGTTTCTCCAATACTTTCGGATAATGAAGGTACTTCACAATCGGAAGCTCCCACTAATGCTTCCTGGGATATCACTCCAACTTTGCAAAAAACATTGCCACCAGATCAATTAAAGTTCCTCAAATTTGCTGGTACGTATTTAATCAATGATAAATTATAGGTACTATATCAGTCATCAATGTAACATAATATACATGTTCTATTCTATAACATATTCTATTCTATAGAAACGCACAGAACCGTGCTCAATCAAATTTTACGACAAACGACTACGCACTTAGCGGACGGACCGTTTTCCGTATTGGTGGATCATACAAGAGTGTTAGACTTCGACGTGAAGAGACGTTATTTCAGAACAGAATTAGAAAGAATGGACGAAGGTATACGAAGAGAAGAATTGGCAGTCCATGTTCGTAGGAGTCACGTTTTCGAAGATTCATTTAGAGAGCTTCATCGTAGAAATGCTGACGAATGGAAGAATCGCTTTTATATTGTCTTTGAAGGTATGGATTTCTTACGTTTGTCCTAATAAATTTATAAATCTTGACAGATTTGAGTAACATTTATTTAATTTTAATAAAAGGCGAAGAAGGGCAAGACGCGGGAGGATTACTGCGGGAATGGTATGTCATTATCTCGAGGGAGATCTTCAATCCGATGTATGCCCTGTTCACAGTCAGCCCTGGCGATCGTGTGACGTACATGATAAATTCATCTTCGCATTGTAATCCCAATCATTTGTGCTATTATAAATTTGTAGGTCGAGTAATTGGTGAGTATTTGTTTTTAACAGGGATGCATTGAATACAAAAGGCGATTCTACTATGTTCCGATTCACGTTATTTTTTTTTCAGCTAAGGCTATTTATGACAACAAATTATTAGAATGCTACTTCACGCGTAGTTTCTATAAACATATACTTGGCATACTTGTGAAACATACAGATATGGAAAGCGAGGATTATAGTTTTTATAAAGGACTCGTTTATCTTACCGAACACAATATTTCTGATCTGGGATATGAATTAACATTCTCTACAGAGGTAAAGAATGATTATTTCAGTAATTTTCAGCCTTGTATTTTGATGACTAAATATATGCATTGCTTTTTCAGGTGAACGAATTTGGTGTTAACGATGTGCGAGATTTAATACCAAATGGACGTAATATAGTTGTTACAGAAGAGACCAAACTTGAATATATTAGGCTCGTGTGTCAAATGAAGATGACTGGAGCAATTCGTAAACAGTAAGTAAAATTTAAAGTTGCAATATCAAATACAAGGATGTTACTTATTATTTTTTAATAATTTTTTTATAATTTAAATCTTCCTCCACAGGTTAAATGCATTCTTGGAAGGCTTTTATGATATTATACCCAAACGACTGATCTCTATATTTAATGAACAAGAACTTGAACTATTAATCAGCGGTTTGCCTAATGTAGATATCGAGGATCTTAAAGCAAATACTGAATATCATAAATACACTGCTACGTCTCTACAGGTATGTACTGTATTTCGATACTTTGTACATTATCTAATCTAATGTTTGAAAGGATTTGAGTTATATTGTTTTTTTTTCCTAAACAGATTCAATGGTTCTGGCGTGCATTACGAGGTTTTGATCAAGCGGATCGTGCAAAGTTCTTACAATTTGTTACTGGTACGTCCAAAGTGCCGTTACAAGGTTTTGCCGCGTTAGAAGGCATGAACGGCGTACAAAAGTTCCAAATTCATAGAGAGGATAGATCAACAGACAGGCTTCCATCTGCTCATACTTGGTAAGATATAAAAAGGAAAAGAAATTTTTATATGATTTCAAGGAAGCATAAAAGATAAAATTAAAGCAATACGAAATTACTGAGCTAATATTTTCTAATTACAGTTTCAATCAACTGGATTTGCCAGTGTACGAGACATATGATAAACTACGTACAAATCTACTCAAAGCGATTCACGAATGCAGTGAAGGATTCGGATTTGCATAAGTTTCGTGAACGCTGTCGTATATTGTAGCAGTTTATCGTGCATGTGTTGTCCTGCCTGTTCAGAGTAAACGTTACGAGAACTCGAGAATTACGAGAGTTACGCGTTCATGCGTCCACTCGGTGACACGCTTGATCTTCATTCAAGATCTAATGGAAAACTCGTTTAACTCGATATATACATATAGATGCACAGATATGTATATACGTATAACTAATTCTGATGTAATTACGTGAGGAACTGTCAATGTGAGATACCCGAAGCTAGGGTTTATTTTGTTGAGGATCTTGGAAGAAGATGCTGAGCTTAACGATAATTCCCAACAAGGAATGATAAGGAGAGATTAGTTCAGTTTTACGATAAAGATAAGCTAAAGATAAGATTCACACATAATTGTAATAGTTAGCTATATTAGTTTGTCATAAGAGAAATAATATAGGATGAAGAAATGTAATATACTGCACTTTAAAGTCAGCGGATATGTTTTAACCGGTTCGATAGTTTGAATAGAAATACAACGGTGGTAACGGTAGCCTGGTTCTTTACCAGAAAAAAAGCAGCAAAAGTATAAGTGGACGAGTGCTTGCGCGAATGAAAGAGAAATAGAGAGTGATAATGAGTGCAAGTGAGTGAGCAAAAGAGATTGAGAGAAAGATAAATAGAGAAAGAGAGAGAATTAATCGAGATATTGAGCCTAATTAAAAGATTTCATAATACGAATGCTGTCCTTCCCTAAAACTGTATGGTTGTACACACTATTAGTATTAATAATTATAACTAATTCTTAATTAATAGTAATCATTGAATATCATTTTAATATTAATTATTCGAAATGTGATGTTAAACAAGTGTAATTTCTTTTTCTTGAAATCTAACGAAATAAAGTTTACAGTTGAACAGACGTTACTTCATAAAACGCATCGAATGGAACAATATTGGCGACACGCTATATAGGCACCGTTATAGTTGGTTACTGAACTCCTTACGAAATTGTTAGGGAATTATTGATTAGGGATCGCAGAATAAAGTAAATGTTGTATTTCTTATAAAAAAAAAGCAGTTGCATTCTTTTGTTATTGCACAGAGTCCTTAATTGCTAACTTCTGAGTTTCCTGAGTAGACAGATGTCGATGCTGCGTAATGTTTACAATTTTTAGAGTCTCCTTTTAAAGATACTTTAACTTTAACTTTATATGTATTACCGAATAAATTATTGTTCGATTAATTACATGAGAATTAATGTATGTAACATGAAAATATATATTTCATATTTACAAAGTCGTATAAGTGTAATAATCTATATTAGTAATTAGAGCGCTGATACGCGTGTTCGGTGGATAATTTGCTAAATCGGTATATAACACCACATAATTTAAGTACCTAAAAATTTTCACAAGCAATGTAATATTGCGTTGTATGTCCGGAATGTTATCACTGATTACAGAGGCCCATCCATAAATGGAAGCAACAAGCGTTTACGAAACCTTCGATTAAGGCATAGACGTCTTCCATGTTTATGGGCATGTTGATTTCTGTGGATTTCCGATAAACAGCACATAAATCCTAAAACAAACGTAATTTTAATTTTCCATGATAACTTTTCGTCTATATTCCAGATTTCGCATTTGTGTTCTACTCACTCCTCTTGATGTATGTAGATCAATGGTCAACATCATGAATGCTTGAAGCAGAGTCGGATGCAATATGAGATGATGGGTAATATTCCCGTCAGAGGTAATGAACTGTTTGTGATGCTCTTGATATTTATTTTGCAATACTTTGGATAACGCTTGGTACCACGAAACTGGTTGGTTGACGAGCGGGCCGAGCCTAGGATCCAAATTGGAAAGGGGTTCAATATGAGCCAAAGAACAAAGTTCTTTAAATTCGGTATACGTCATCGACGTCTTGTTCTCCAATAATTTATCCCAAAGTAAATGCGTTCGGCACTGCAATGCGCCACGCTCCACCATATTTGTTATGTGCTGACGCGCGGCGTTTGCTTGGGCCATAATCATTTGTTGCATGAGCTGTTCGTGTGATGAATAGTAGCCCAAATAGTTGACTGATTCCTGGCGAATCTGCACCAAATGTGGCGACGACGATGATGAAGTTGCGTTCGAAATTGCACTCGGAATGTTGGAATTTTGCGCTAGAGGGGAGTTTGGGACTGGTGGAGGTGTCGGCGCCGAACTATTATGAACATTATAGCTCGTCGGTTTGATATCGGCATCTTTAACAAGCATATCGCCCGAGGAGTCGAGACTCCTCTCCTGCTGATCGACACTCGACATTTCTGTCCTGGAATTGCCCCTCACGAACGGCGGCATAGGTGAGACGGAATTGGATTCAACGGGGCTCTCTGTGTACGAGCTAGTCGCCGACTTCCCAACACTGTACACGGTCCTAAACTTTCCTAGCTTGTTGTTCTCCACCTCCCTTTTCGGATACAATTCTCTCTTACTTGTCAACATCAGATAATATTTTAAAGTGATCTCAGTCCTTTCGATTTGCGGTGACTGTTCCATGCGTGACACAATTAGCGCCACGTCGAAATCATCTGTGTACCTCATATCCTGAGCGTCGCAATAACTTACTAAAGGAGTACTTTGCAGGTTAATCAAGACATATTCGTTGTCATGAGATTCCTGGAGCTCGCCAGACATCACGAATACACGCATACCGTATACCTTCTCGTGCGAAAGTAAATATGAGTATAACGTACGCGCAGGTATCGCTATATTGCGTATAGTTATCACATCTAAAACAACAACGTATGTCGTGTTACGGGATGAATGTGAATTACCGTCGAAGTGTGTCTTTGAAACTTACCACTGTATATTAGATTTCTGGCGTAATTCGGTGCCTTGCTATAATATTTGATGAAGTCATCCATAAAGTGAGTAAGATGGTAACCTTGCTGCAAGGACCACAATCCAGTTCCAGCGATGTAAGAGTGAATGCAACGCAAGTGAAAATCATACGTAAACGAGTGCAGATGCATGTTGATTTGAATCTTGTCGCAAACGTCCACGAAACTCAGTACAAACTGTAACAAATCCATTTCTTAAAGCTAACTATTCTATATGCGTATGCATGCAAGGTAAATGTAATTCGAATTTATTTTACCTGGTTCATCATACCACTACTCGTCTTCATCTGTAAACGGTTGCACTCAATGATATGTAACTTCACGATAAAAAAAGGCTGCGACAGGTGAACTTCGAACAGCAGAATACCACCCAGCATCGATTTCTTGAGATAATAAGACTGCTGCTGCGCGTGTTCCTCGTCCCTGTAAAAGAAAAACAATACATTTAAAAAAATGTGTATGTGTTTAATCAAAATCCAATGAATTTGAACGAACGTTTTATGCGGTGATTCTACTTGAATTGGATTGAAGCCTAAAATCTGTAGATACTGTTTATATTCGGACAACATTGACTTGCAGAGCTCTTGATGCCACTTTATCATAATCGCGTTCGTCACTTCCTGTCTTGACTGTGTTGCTTGCGACGATTGTTCGTGCACGTTGCCATTCACGTTAAAGTGAGACGATTGCGGCGCCGTCAACGAATGATCTCTCGTGGCGGCAGACTGCAAACGCCAGGCTGGTAAAAAGAGGAGAGGCGTGTGACAGAAGTGTATTAACCGAGAATGCTGCTTGAACGTGTTCAAAGTATTCAGCGATATCGGTATGTTAGACGTGCGGCTCTGCCACATCGCGTACAGTCTCTCCGAGTCCTCTACAAATTTTAGAAAAATATCTCAGTTATATTACTATTCTTAGTCATACATTAAATGACATCAACATTACCTTTGATTTTTTTTTCTCGATGCCGTAGATCTTGTAAATCATAGGCAGCCTTTACAATCGCATCCGTCGTATTATGAGGATGCGGAGTGCTTGGTTTTGCATCACGCATTGCCTGTCCGACTACCTGAACCCACGAAGACGCGTTGTTCCTCATCGATTGCGCTCGATTGCTTGCTCGCGTCCAGTCTTTACTATCGGTATTTGACTGACTTGGAAATTTCGCTAGACTTTCCATGTCATTGATCTGATAATATTGAGAACTATGCTCTCTCTGCTGAGGTTCTCGGGTGAGTTTGTGATGAAATATGCCCAATTTTTGCATGATTATGCTGGTAAATAGACTCGATCTAGAAGACAACCATGTACCTAAACTTGTCGTTTGTTTTATCAATTTTTCTGATTTTTCCTTGGACCAATTATACATATAAATAATTATCTGAAAAATTAATATAAAGTTTAATATAAAGTTTAATTAATTCTTGTGGCACATATTTTATAATTATGTATTATATAATAAGCACTAACATTGTCACTTAATATTTCAGCTAATAGTATTCTTTGTCTAGGCACAAAATTCGATTCCGATATTAAGGGATTAAATTTTTGCAATTGCTTTTGATCTGTAACATGAAACATAACATGAAAAGAATTAATAATAATATATATAAGACATAAGTTAAAAATTGTTAAATTTAACTAACCTTTAGGCGCAAGCAATTCTGGATCTATCTCTTTACTCAAAGATGCTTTCCATTGATGGAAATTTCTTGCGATTAAAATACATTTGATGTAAGTCGTTTGTTCGTCTTTGTTGAACTCATGTGGTACATATACGGGCGAATCTGCGGTTTCTTGGTCTGTGTTTTCTGCTAATGATTGATCGAAATTATTCCGAATACTTTCAGACCATTTGAGTGTAGATCCAGTTTTGTGCGAAACGACAAATTGGTTTAGGAATGGTTGTCGATCTTGCAAAACAAAAACTTTACTAAACGTGTCTGGATCTTGATTGCGTATGAGATTCTGCAGTTCTCTCACGATCACGGGAATCGCATGCCGATGATGAATGATCACTTCGTGCTTCTTGACAGCAGGGACACTCATTTCTAGGGCAAATTGAAACCAGCGTGCTAGCGTAGTATGATAAACCTCATTTAATTTTCCTTTCTCACCGAGTTCATATTGATTAAGCGATAAATTATCAGAAATTTTTTGTAACTGTGACTTTATAGGCGTCTGAATTTCTTTGTTTTCCGGTGTAGTTTCTTCGATTGAAGAATTGAAAGCTACTGGCTCCGTCAAAGGTGTTGCTAGAAGATTATACTCCGTGACCAGGTCCCAAGTACCATGTTTCACAGCGGATGACAATTTCACAATTAATGACTCTAAATTGACTCTGCCCTGTTTCCAAATCCGAAATTCGATTAATTCTTGCGTGTTCGGTTTAGAATCATTTTTATGATCGTAAACATTGGTCGATACGATACTCTCGAAATTCTCAATTTTCAATAATTTAGAAAAGCTCGACTCATTGTTCGGATCATTTGAACGTGTTCCAGATTCTCCTTTACCATCGGTAATAGCTAATGCGATGCAAGCTATACCTTTGCTACCACTCGAGTGACTCTGATTGTATAAAAAAATGTCTGATTCGGATACTTTCTTTCTGGCACCGTCTAATGGAGTGTAATCCTGAAAATGATAATGTGCGCCGAGATCCGTATATTTTGGTGTATACAAAAATTGCAATATGTTTTGCCTTAAGTAATATCCCAAGGCATCCATGTATCGCAAACAATGCGATTGCACTGACAATTGCACCGTACATTCTGGAGACTTGTAGGGTTTTTGTATAAAGTGTACATCTGCCGGTGTCAGCTTGCACATCGGATTACGCGCCAACATCACAGACAATACTTCTAACACCGCGTCGTCAAGACGATTTTGCAATACTTGTACTAAATCCCGTTTGACTTCCGGACCGGCTTCCGATATCCCGTGTACCATCAGGATAATTGAATCGCCAGTTTTGTTTAAAATATCGGACTCTTTTTCGCCAAACGAACGAACTCTGGGTCTCGTGTCGTTCGGTATTGCATGGTCATTCACCAGACTGATGCTTTTAGCCTGCGATAAAGATGCGACGCTGTTACTACGCGAGACGACCAACTTCTCATCACTCTCGGACAATTTATTCTGCAAAGTATTACCGTCGTTCGTCTGCTCGTGAAGCCGAAGATAAAATACATTTTCATTATTTTCCTGATACACAAACATATTATTTCGATTATTAACGGAGAGTCTATTGAGTACGCCATGTAATGCTTTGATCCCTCTCGATAATCCGGATCTTCCAGGCCCGGTCTTTAAGCGAGGGTGCAAATTGAAGGGTTCCTCCCAAATAACGGGGCATCTGAACATGCCAGGTGTAACATTCGCTGAAGAATTATGAATCTGAGAAAGATTTCCGGGCTCTCCGCCAGTTTCTCTCCAAGTATTATGATCTTCAGTAGATTCTGCTTCCAATAGTAGATCGCATGTACGAGTATCGTGAAGATTTTGTAAAAGTAAATATTGATTTACTCGTCGGCATATAGCTTTGATTTGAGTCAGCAACATTTTCTGTATTTGCAAATAACAATCTACTTCCGGTGAAGAAAGTTCCAAAAATCTATATAATAAAATTGTTGATATTATAAATTTTATATCTAACTGTTCTATAAATAAAGATTTTTATCTTGATTTACCAACCTGCAGTGAAAATAAATGTTAACATGACTACTTTCGACACTCATAATTAACCAGAAATTGGGTAAACAACTTCTGCGTTTATCAAGTTCTATTAACCATTGATAATCATCCTCGGAATTACTGCTATCGCCTTCATATCCATCATCCGTCCCGTGTTTTCCTTCGGCTATACTTGATATTTCAGAATAATAACCCGGCGCATCTCCAGAATCCTGCCCATTTATTTGTATCATAGTAGATAGCTCTTCCTGTTCGACATTTTCAATGCTTTCATCTGTAATTACATCTTAACAATTAAAAATGTATGTTTTATTTTAAATTATTTAAAAATATGTCATAATTTTGAAAGGAAAAAGATATTATTTTTCAATTAAATTTAATTATATAATTGTTATAATTGTTTAATGAGACTGCAAATAATATGATTATTTACCGTCTTTCAGTGACTGTTCCTTTATGTCTACATGTAATGTATCTGCTTCGATATCAGGTATTATTTTTTTTGGTTTCTTAATAAAATAGAATAAATCAGTCTCTTGGTAAATGCAGTATTTGTCAATCTCAAGATTTTTTAATTCCTTCAAAAATTTAGGTGCACTATTTTCTGACGGAAAGACAAAATGTAAAGGTACTTTATCCATCGAGCAACTGGACCTCCCGGTAGATTCCGACACATGCTGTGCTATAAACTTTAATGTATCTGCGCTCGGTGAAGGATGATCCAGAAGTGCTGTCGCGGTTTCATCTCGCAACAACCATTCTATCTCATCCTTCAACTGAGCCACCGCATGATGTTGAGGTGGATGTGGCATTCTTTCCTGTATCGATTCAGCCTTCGTATTTGCATCCGAACTGCTACCGCTCGGCATGCTACCAAACGTCGATGCGCTGCAATAAGATGTCGTCCTCAATGCGGGAGAACGTTCTAATGTCACTTCCAATACTTCTTTTGGAAGGCTCAGACAAATGATATCCAAAGTAACTTTCAGATCATCTAAGTTTAACTCAGTAAAATTTTTTTCTTTGCTGTTATTAATCCTTTGAATAATCTCGGTAAAGCAAGTAGGCATTAGTTTAACGGGTATACTAAAAAGCTCAGAGCGAAAACGAATCGAGCAGCTTAAGTGTAAAAACAGCGGCTGATCTTTCACATTCCATGTGTTTTCCTCATCGAAATCGCTTATAAGTGAATCCTTTGAATTGGAATGAGACAACTTCTTATTGTTATGAAGATTCATGACTGGCCATGTATTGACAATTTGACTCACTAACAAGTAATAATACATGTATACTTAATATGTTTAATGAAAATTTTTGTCTTTATAATAAAGTATCTCTTGATTATTATCTACCTTGATTAGAAGAATTATCTGTTTTTGGAGCCGGGATTTCAGAATGACATGTAAATTCGTCTAAATCATCATCGCTATCTGTTCTATGTGACACCACTTCCTGAAAATATGATTTTTGTAAAATAATAAAGTTTACGTATTGTATATTATAAAAATACAGAATATACAAAGAAACATACTATTTTCTCCGACATCCATGATGGTAAACAATAATAAAATTCTGGATGTGCAGGTACAGGCCTAAATGAGACTGCCATAATCCTTTTAAATTTATTTTTTATCAAACTGTGTAATGGTTTAACATCATTGCACGCAGAGATTTTTAATTGATTCAGCAAATCGCCTTCTGGCAACATGCTCAAATGCCTGCACACCGATCTTAGATAATTTGTAATATTAATTTCAATCAGATTTTCTTCGCATTGTCCTACAGCAGCCTCCATATCTTCGTAGCTTAATGCTTGTTGCAACGCAAGTGATTTATAAACCGCGACAACATAACAATGGCAATGCGCTAAGCTCAACAATTTGCAATGCTCCATCAAACTTCGTTGATCTAATGCAAAAGATCAATTTTGTTAAAAATATTAGAATATTATCAATGATTTCGATAACAATTTCGATAAAAAAATGACAATTATTCTTTGAAAAATTATATCTTTTTTTTCATAATTAACATTATATCTTTAAAATGTTCGCCTACCACTAGAAATATTGTCAGAATCTTCGCTCTTTGGTTCAGGAGATGAGGGTTTTGTGTTGTTTTCTGATTTAAGACTGACAAAATCTTCGGAAATTTGTTCCCCAATTTTAAAGGTATGATCTTGATAGATGTCTTTATTCTGAGGTGTTTGCAATTGACCGACCAGTGCATCAATTAATAATGCTAGTGAACAATCATATACGTATACAGGTATAACAAGGCTTCCCTCATTGTCAATATTATCAAAATTATGTTCAACATTAGCCTTCGACGTGCTATTTGCAGTAGTAGATTGATTAGAAATTTTGGATTCTCTGCGTTCCAATGTCACAAAATCGGGTAAATTTGTATTTTCTGCACACAATGTTGGAGATGATACCTTTTCGTTTATATCAAGGTCGAAAATATCAGAATCACAATTTTTCTCGGAATTGTTACTTGTGCAATTATCGCCTGTATACATTATTAAACGAACATCTTTTTCAGTCGCTGGTAATATTGTAATAATGACATGTGTCGTGCTAATTCCTTTAACGAAACATTTCCATCTTGGATAAATCTCCGATGCGTCATCTTTACAATTCTTTTCTAAAATATAAAAGTTACACGATATAAAATGATTTAAAATGATCGTGAAGTATGGTATTTTCGCGAAACATAAAATAATGTAAAGCAATATTTATTATTTTCATAAGATAATAACTGAGAAGTCGAATATTGTACCTTTTTGCATAAAGAAAGGTAACGGTGGAATATTCTCGCGTGGCCTGTTAAGAAGCATTCTAGTGAACCTTTGCGATTCTGCCGACGTAAGTAATAATTCTTTATTGTGCAATTGTTTCATATGTTCCAGAAAATTATCCATAAGAATTCTATTTGCATTATCCCTATCCTCGTCGATATGTACAGGATCTAACAAAATAAGTCATTTATTTAATTTCGTGTTCCTTCTCTATTCATTAATCTAAAAGACGAGTCTCTAACCATCGGCAAACATCGAGAACAAAAGTTCCGCCTGCTGACACTTTGGCAAAATGCTCAGAGTATCAAACGAGAAGTACATGGGATGTATTCTCTCGTCAATGATTGGTGTCGCTTCGAAAGGTTCGGCAGGATTTGGACATTCCGAGATATGATCTGTAGATGTGCCCATAATACTATGATATTTGATTCCTTGATGCGCTTGTCCGAGCACGATTTCGGTATCTTTTTCCACCGGTGTTACTTGGCACAAGAGGCTCAAGTATTCTAGGGTCAACAGAGCGTTAATACATTCCTCATCTATTCGGGCGATCTAATAGGAAAAAATATCATATTTGTGACATAGGATTTACAAAAACAATTTTAATATTACATGCAATATACATATTTGATGTTATAATAAACTTTATTTTTATATTAATAATATAATATATATATATATATATATATATATATATATATATATTTATATATTTGAAGAAATATGTCTGCGTAATAATTTTATACGAGACAAGAATGACGCAAATTTGAGATACAAAAATCATCATCGTATTTGATCTTAAAATTACACTTATCGAGTTATTAACATATGATTACAGAAAGAACAAAGTTCATAGACTATAGTCTATTTAGTCAGTAGCACTCGGTCGTCTCGGTGATCGGCAGATAATCACATTCATGTTCGTAGATTAGGTCGCCTCGAGCGGACGATTCAAGTCGCACAGAAAGTTCGACGATCACGGGGGATCAGGAATAAGTTGGAGGAGTTGAATCTTCACTTTCAATACAAAGCGAGAGACCACTTCTCCAACTTGAACCATCGAACTACCCGTTACCATCACACGCATCTCGGATGATGATCTCGGATAGTGAAGATTACAAGTTAACGGGAAACTAACACTGCGGCCTGCGACTGCGAGACGAGGTGGAGCCGCAAAACTCTGAGCTGGAAGAGTTAGATCTGACAAGTTATCAAGGACCTACGGTCGTTCACTGCCTAGATCTTCACTTCCAACTGAGAATAACGCGGATACGAAGATTTCCAAAAAGAACACGGAGCGGACGATGCATAGACGACATGCATTTCGCATGTCTACTTCAGAGGCGGTCGACTATGTTCTCCTCGGTTCTAATCTCGAGCGAAGTCACCTGATGATAACGGGACGAAGACTTTATCCCGCGAGGCTCTTCACGAACGCGCGGGCGAGCGGAAATCCAGTCGTGTCATCTTCTCGGGAGAGAATTACGAATGAGATTCGTCATTGAGACAGGACGATCGAGCCCGATGACCCAAGGACAATGTCGCGCGAAGGCCATTTTGAGAGACTTAGATGTGCGACGGAAACCACGATCACTTCCAATCTGCGTGCAAAACGTGATAAAGAATCGTCACCGGAGATTCAGCGATAAGAGGCCTGGGAACACGTAGAGCTGTGCAAAGGTAACCGAACGTGCGATGTCGTAAAATTACGCGAAAAAGATAATCCGAGATCACTAGTGAGCGCAGGGCGCGTATTGGGACTTATATATATACCCGAGGCGACTGATAGGAACACCTCGTTCCGAGGACCCTCATCGATATCGAAGCCACACCCCGATAACGATAACGATATGTAGCGATAGACACTTTTATGTTCCTCGTTCTCTTTTCCGCAGGCCGTTCTCCATTTCACAAGCCGGAAACACGAACACCAAAAATGAGATCTTTCGTCTTTTGAAACTAAGCGCTTCTTCTCGTTAATATCCTCCCAAGAAGCGCATATAGGAATTCCAATATAATAACAAAATCATCCTGATCGAGTTTTATTCTTCTTTCAATATAGAAGATGATAATATATGATATAAAGATGGAGATAAAAAAGAAATTATGAAGAAGAATGCATTTGCCCGATCGAATATACCTTTGTGAAACGTAGATAAATGTTTGCGTGATGTAACGACTTCTGATAATTGATACTTCTTCGTTAGCTTTGGCTTCTAGTTCCGAAAGATAAATCGAAAAAGTTGTTCGATGCATGAGGTGTTTTCCCATATGATTATCGGATCCATGAAAAGTTCGTTAGAAGGATCTCTATCTACGAAAACTTCGAAATTCGAAGACAATATACGCAACGTCATTATGTAAATCCACCTCATAAAATGAATGTTTGCATTTCATTTTAATTCAAACTGTTAAAGCGCGCATGAATTGGCAAGTCAATGAGTGTGATATGTCTTTAAACTTCACACACTATCGAATGAGCAAAAAAGTTAACTTTTTTTTTTTATTTTTTTTTTTTTTTTTTTTTTTTTTTTTTTTTTTAATTTTGAATTTGGTCTAGAAGTAAAAATCATTAAATAAATTAAAAAAATAAATATATATAGAAAAGTAAGAATCAGTTAATTAGATTATTTCTCGTTGTGAAATAAAATATAATATACGTATCAATGTTGGTGTATCTTGAAATTTGGTCTTCTGATTAGCGACGTTCTCCAGGTTACGAGTGAATCAGATAAGTTATCTAGTTAACGTAAATTTGCTAGAATTATATTCGTATTACAAAAATATGATATACAAATTTTAATTATCAAGTACATCTATAGAAAAGTAATTTCCTGTTTTAAATTTCATATAATTTCTCTTAATTTCTATTAAGAGATTTATATGAAATTAAAACAATTAATGATCTACGATATATAGATATAATTTCAACAATTTTAAGAGATTCAAATAATACATAAATTATACATAGATTAATAAATCATATTCTTTTTATCAAGTATAATTATTACAATTTTATTGTTTATTAATATTAATATTATTTATATAAAAATATATCAATCATTATTTGCTTAATAGATTAAAGTGATAAAAGTAAATAAATAAAAATTAATATTTTAAAAAAAAGTTATAAAAATTTAAAAAATTATATATATACATATACATATAAAATATTAAATCTACTTCTCTCTAATTTATATGTAGAAAAAAATTACAATAAAATCGTATTGAGATGATAGAAAGAGAAATATCTTTATCCTTATCGTCCTTCATCATCAAATGACAGTGCATACACGGATTTTATAAGCATCTCTATCAGAATTGGAAGAAAGATAAGATTGAAGATAAAACTACATGCCATGAAGTTAAGATATTTACGCGAATCACGTTCTATTACTATATTGCTTTAAATTATTAATTATTCTCTCTTTTATCAGAGTAATTATACATGCCTAATGTGATTTATTTTTTTAATATTAGATATAAAAATTATACGTTCTATATCCCTTTTAAGACACTATTTGTCTAGATGAGTTTATAGATATGAAATTGATGGACACCTATCGTTAAGCAAATATACATTTTTTTTAGATATTTCTAATGTTCTGGAAGATAGGAATTGGAAAAGAGCACATTTCCGCCGAAATCTCGAGAATGCGGATGGGCGTACATATAGATGTCGAAAATGTGCCGCAAAGCGTGATAACTTAAGCTAGAAACAAAGAAAGTTAAATAATCCGCTATCACCGAGCGATATTTGCTATTAGATAGATTTCAGTACCTAGCAAAATAAAACACTTTAGATGATTGTACGTCAGAATAATTTTTCTGTTACTATACGCAGCATTATCAAGTTAGCTCAAGATAAGAAGGATAGGAGTTAATTCCGAAAAGTAATCCGTTTCAGAAACTTATGAAGTTATGATAAAGAGTTAGGATTACATATTAATTTTATATGTACATATCTCATACATTTAGTGTAAATTTGAATAAGCAGTTTCAAAAATTATCCAATAGATATTTATATGTTGCAATAATCTAGTAAAGTAAATGTTTAAGATATCACAGAATTTTCTTGGAATATTATTAAGAATTATCGTCAAAAATTACGTGATAACACATGAACGTTAACGATTAGTATTGTAATTTTTAATATTTCTACCGTTTTATATATATTGCAAATATATCAGAGAAATATCGAGTGAAGATATCTTATCATTCTTAAGACGTTCATGGAATTAACTGCGTCTTATCTTCAGCAAGCTCATAGTGTTACGATACATTTTAGTAAAAGAGATAGAGTAGAAATATATATAAAAAAAACTTTGCTTAATTTTAATTTATATTAGATAAATTATGAAAACAATATATGTTTTAATAATTTAATAAATTAAAAAATATTAATGAGTATATCATTCTATTAATAACTCAACATACATATGTACATGCATAAAATTGAAATTTTTATTAATAGTTATTGTGAATTTACTTACTGCATCTGGCAGTTGATGATACTGCAGAGGATGCATATACATAGCAATTGATTGTGTAGGTATTTGTACATATCCACATTGGGGTTCAACCCAAACTTCCGTAACAATTTGAAAATCGTTGTATCCTTCAGAATCTTCAGTCCACACTTCTGCCTCGGTGACACCTAATATATACAAAAACATATTATTATATAATTTTTTTATTTAATTGATAAATAATTTTACCTTCTTCTGTATCATCGTCGGTGCCGCTATCGCGTTCTAATGTTGCACTTGGTACAACATGTGGTGGAAATAAAACGTATTGAATAATACATGGATAAAAATTCTCGTCATTTCCGAAGCCCTGCATTTGCACTTCTAACACCATGTTTGTAATACCAGCCGCCGAATATGCAAAATTGAAGCCTTCTCCTAGACGTATTCTACAAATAAAACCAATTATTTTCTTACTGTTATTCTCGTAATTCTCATAACGTATTAGTCAATATGAATTTATTTACTTCGTAATTGTGGATAGTATTCTCGCGATTGCAGTAATGTTTAATCTAGATAAAGTAATTCCCGGGATAGTCTGAACAAATGGCCGTTTTACATGCCACAGCCATCGATTGTGATACAAATATCTAGACAAGGTAGTTGTTAAACTACCTCCCAATAATCCCAGTGCAGTCCTTGTACAAGTTGGCTGAGTCCCGTCGGGAAACACTACCATACTCAAATTGCTCGGTATACGCTCATATCTTACAAGAATTCGCTCGAGCGATTTATGTATTATTGTACAACATGGAATCTCACGTTGCTCCGTCGGCCTATTTGGCAATGTGAGCTTAGATAGTCTGTCCACGAGATCTACAACTACGTTGTGGCGGACGACACCTTCGGTGCCGCCGGCGAAAGCTATATTGAGTACGACACAGAGCGCTTTGCAATTAATGCGAATCAATGAGAATGACACCGGCGGCTTTTCCGCCTCTCTGTATATGAACTGGACATACGTGTGATTTTCGACTAATACAAAAGTCGCCCAATTTTTCAGCATGGCATATAAAACAGCTGCCGCTTGTCGACTCTGAACGCATTGAAAACGACCACTCTGATTTGCTTGATGAAGATGTCTCGGCAATGGTCTGTCGTAAGCTAGGATTAATGTAATCCTCTGAGTGTGCATCCAACGTGCCCACTGAAGCGGATCCAAAGAGACAACCGGTTGCCATATCTGTCCGAATTGTGGACAGGCAGCGTCGCTATAAAATATGCATATGTGACAAATTATAATAGCGTTGTTTTTGAATTTTATTTTCATCACAACTGTAATATGTGAAGTATTATAATATTTATGCAAATAAATATAATATACCTAAGCTGTACTGTACTTGGTGATGGATAAGATGATAAATAAAACACAGGCATCCCGCTTCTGATAGTATCTGGTACACTATACCAAGTCCATCCAGAGCCTGGAAACCAGCTAAAGTGTGCCAACATATTATCGCTTTCGGTTAACGAAGTCAATGCTGTCCAAAAACGAGAAATGACTCCTTGACGATAATGCGAGTTCAACGGTTTCTTTGATAGACATGTAATGTCATGTAAAAATTCATATGGCGCTATAATAAAAATTTAATTCAGATTACAGACAGAAATGTAATTTAATATCTAAAATTATATGTTATTTACCTTCTATGGTTATAGTATATTGTATTACGTTCGAGAGAGATAACGATTTTGAAGACCATGGACACATTACTAGATATTCTAAAAAAACATTTGTTTTCCATAACAACACAAAATTTATTTCAAGAACATCGTCTCGTATATTGGCTCTTTTTATCAAGTATCCTTCTCTTAAACGACAACATAGTAGACTGCTTAAGGTACAAGTAACTTTATCATCAATCTGTTTTTCTTTAAAAGTTGACCGCTTTTGTGTCCGTGGAAGCAATCATTTTTAGTTCGCCAGCAGTGACGATCCGATGTATCGTCGTCCGATATGTTCCGATATAATTGCCAACATAAAAAATGTTTATGAAAAAGATTCATATCTGTTCCTTGCGCAGGTATCTATAGATAGAATATTACGTCGCATTAATATTGCTACAAAGTAGCCAAACGTATCAATATAGATTAAAAATTACATACAACATATGAGTTGAAGGACATATAACTGCCGAGCGTAGCTGCGGCAATGAAATATAGCAAATCTTGATATGGCACTAAACCATCCGCGCAATGTGGATCATACGCGCTGCCTACACGCAAAAAGCTGCAAGCAACCGTTGTAGCGCGTAGCTGCTGTATAATGGAATCTAACGTATGAGCATTCTTAATTCCGACGATACCATCCGTGACTATTACCATATCTGAAAATCTTTCTCTATATTCTTCATTTTCCATACTATTGCCTTATCCGTAGTAAAAATGTATTATTATGTAGCAATCTATTAAATATGATTATAAATTGTGAACTCACGTGCACAGCTGTGCTCAGGTAGGAGAGTCAGAGCCAGCATTCCATATCTTAGCATATTTACAAAACTAGCTTCCGGCGAAACTATAGAGATACTACAATTATTTTTGTTCAAACAGTTGCTACTTTCCTCAAAAAGCCTCCCTACCAAACGCTCACTTTCTGCCCTTAAATTTTCTAACTGTTGATTAGCTATGGCTGTAACATTTGCCACTCGCTCCTCTAATAGGTACAACTGTTTTTCTATATATTGTGTAAGAGAATTTACATTATTCACAGTGATCAGCCATCCCTGTACCAGTACTTGTTGCGCCGGACTTGTAAAGAACGGTGTATGAGCTATCACAGTCACATAAATTTCAGGTTGCATTACACGTTTGCTGCCTGGTATCATAAACTATAAACATACAATAAATTTTTATAAATTTTTGTCTACATGCATTTATAACATATTAAAACAACACTTACTGGTCTGGTTATACCTTCAAGACACCGTTTTGTCGCCAGACATACTTCATCAATGACAATCTCTCCACTTTGTACATCCTAAAGGGATATTTATTTTATTTTATTCTTGAATTCATATTTCATAATAGAATTATTAATCTCACAATACTTACGACAGTAGCAAGCGACGGACTTAAGTCTAAACTAAAGACTATCCTGTACTTGTGCGCCAGGAATATAATCGATGTCGTCGAAACAACTTTATAAAGAAACTGGTGGCTGGTATCTATCGACCAAGCGACAGGCCTATCTCTTGGTAGCACCGACACTATCTCTAACTCCGGTTCCTCCTTATTCTTTATACTTGGACATTGTATACTTATCACAGAGTCCAAGTGCTCCAGTAGCCATTGAGCTCTCACATTGCGAGAAATGGGAAAACCTTTTTTCATCAACAGAAAGACAGTCTCCGCTTCTAAAATGATTCTATCCTGCAAAGTGAAAACTGTTTAAAAAAAACAGCGGCCATACAATTTACTGTAACAATTTTTTTTTTTAATGTGTCACAGCTATTTCAGAATACTCGTCATAAAATACTTAATACGCGAATATTTACAGAAATTGTAAAATATTTCACAAGAAGTTTACAAAAATTGCCATTGCTTTATCGAGCTATGCTCCACGTTGCTGTCACAATGACAGATATCGGTCGCGGGAAGAGGTTATGTTCACTTTCATTGTCAAAGGCGGAGATGAGGGAAATTATCGCAACAATAATCAGCGAACTTACCTCGCTCCTCGCGCTCGCCATGACGTATCTTGCCCGTGCACGTTCTATCAGTCCATCAGTTCCATCATTATTATTACTAAAACCGTCGAACTCTCCAGCAGGTTGTCATCAGCGAACTGGAGCAAAGATAAATCATCGCGATGCGGATCCAGCGCGATGTCGCGCGATTCAGCGAGGGAAATAAAGTACGCGCCCGCTCGGCCAAAGGTCACGTTGTCGCGTTCACCGCGACGTTTAGGAATAATCGAGAGGCGATAAACATAGCCCGACATAACCTCCGAGGCGAACGCTGTGCACGCGCGACGCGATGACGTTTCGCCGCGTGCCTGGATGGACATGCACGCACGCGAGCTGGATCCTAGCGCGCGGACGAGCGGGCGGGCGGGCGAGCGGGTGCGCGCGCGTACACGTGAGGTGCACGATCTTTCCGCGTTCGAAGTGCCTTCATCAAATTTCCGAATCTCTCGCGAGGAATTCCTCCCTTCGCATCGCGTCACAATTGAAAGGAATAAAAAAAAAAAAAGAATCCTTCGCTAAATATTTCTACGTGACTTGCGCCGTGCGCGTGGAGTTTCTGCGTGACTGAAGTGCGCCGAATGTAAGCACATTGATAAAAATAACGCGCCAATGCGCGGTATCCGATACGGTTATCGGAAAACGAAATGAAAATTATGCATCGCAAATCAAGAATACGAGCGTTACGGCGTTTAATACCAATCGCTTAAAAGATTTATGCGGATCTCGCAATATTTAGATGTGGCTCGTCTTGGAGTATGTAATCGGTTGCTCTCTTCTCTTTTTTGTTTTCTTTTTCGTTAGTGATAAGAAAGATCAATGTACCGTATTGCGATAATCAAGATAAAGAGGCTTCATTTACCGATAATAGAAAGGATCGTAAAGACATTTTTATATGTTATTTTGAGAAAGCACGAAATGATACCATGATGATATTCTGAGAACGTATGACCAATAATATATTATAAATAATTGTTCTATATTATAATAATTATTATAAATATAATGCTTCTTTTGCCTCTTTCTGCCTAATACAGGTTAATTTTGATTTAATATATTCTTTAAGTTTTTGTAATTTTTAGAACTAAATAAAAGATAAAAAATAAATTAAATCAAAGTAAATTAAATTAAAATTAAAATTAATTGATAGAAATGAACATAAGTTGATTCAATCCATATTTTGAAGAACAAATCGAATCAGGGTTCATATGTTATAATTTAAAATACGAACGGAATCAACAGCAGTATTTTGTCATGTCAGCAAAGATATTGTTATAATCTTTCTCAGTATTCATTATGAATTCCTAACCTCGTCATGTTATGCACGTTTACTATTTTTGTTAACATTTACCAAATTTTTATCCACACTGTGCGCGTAGGAATTTCCGCGTTTATTACTTTTTATCTGTATTTTTCTTCGCGCAATGTGCAGAAATATGCGAAAAACTTGCATACAATGTTATATCAATTATTTGAATTTTTAAACCTCGATATTTCGATTTGCGTAATATGTTATTCGTGATCTAATGTTTAATAACAAAAATAAAAATCCGTATTGCTTGTATGACTTTGTAAATTCGCAGTCAAATTGTCAAATCTATTTCGAACTGAGCAAATTATCGAAGACGAAACTAAAGTCGATCTAAGAGCTAAACTTTTTCGATTGCCATTAATTTAATTAACAATTATTTCAATAAATTGCTTAAATAAAATTTTGAACTATATAATTAATCTTTGCTAATAATTATATCTACGTTAATAAAATGATGCATATTATTTAATAAATTAATAGTCCAATAAATTAAACGAATTATTCATATAATAATTTTAATCGAACTTTATTTAAACTTCGTTTAATTTATTGGTTTTGACTATTGATTTATCAAATAATGTGCATTATTCTATTAACATAGATAGAATTATTAATTTTTTGTTGTATATATAAATATATAATGACTCTCAAACATTTGTTTTTAAAAAAGTGTTTTTTTTTTTCAGAGATGTACTATTTACGATCTATTTCCATTATTTCCGATATTAGTGACACATTCGTGTAATGTCACGAGGACTTAGCATGACACATCTTTAATCTCTCTTCGTTTTCGCTATGGGATTCCCGGCTAAAGAGGAAAAGTTGCAAATCGTTTCTAAGAATCGTTATATTTGCTAGTATTTTTTCGTTCTTACATGAATTGAACGAGATGCTTCTATAGCGCTGACTTTTTCTTGGTATAACTTGACCTCAACTTGTTTCCATTTCCATCTGATTTCTCGCGTATGACGCTGCGAGAAAGCGAAAAAGCTGTAACGATAGACGGTCTTATTTTGCTATGTCGAGTCTTTAAAGAATCTTAGATTACGCAAAATAATTTGTAATGCTAACAAATAATTTTTTCCTTTAATGCAGAGAAATCTTATGAGAAAAAAATCTGGATTTCAAAGATTAGAACTTATTACATACGACTCAGCTTTCACTCCAATGATTGGCATAATCTGGAACAATCTCCAATAGTCAAATTTGCTAAGATATCTTCTCCTCAAACAAATATTATAAAATGAATGTGCGTTATTGAACTACTAGAAAGAATGAATGCTTAAGTATGATGAAATCTAAATAATTGAACAAACGCTATAAAAGCTTTGTGAACAAGATTCTATTCTCTAATAAAAGATTTGTAATTCATTCAAAAGCATTCATTAAAAATAATTCTGTATAGCTGTCTTTGGCCGGTATTCATAGTCAGTTTTTAAGATCGTCTTAAATAAGTCTTATACAGCTATTCTGTTGATAGAAATGTTAAGACGATCTTAAATATAAGAACTGACTATGAATATCGGCCTTTGTCGCTCATTAATTCTGTTTTTGACAAGGCTAAAACAAAACGCACACAGGTACATTATTTTACTTATTCAAATAGAATCATTAAATAAAAGATGTTACACTTGTCGCGCGTGGTGTATTGTAAAATATCATCGTGTGTGAATCGCAATAACAATGAATCGCGATTGGTTGTTCGATGGCGCGTATTCAACGATGATGAGATCGCAAAAATAAGGAAGAGCTCGACGGCGTTTCGCTCTCTCATAAAGTTTCGATCAGTCCGGAAGATTCGCTTATAACCACTGAAGACTTAGAGCAGCTTCATTGCAGATCGTGCATCCGTTCAATTCTTTTCTGCATCTTTCTTCTTTGCACCTATCACGGGTCGAAGCTGCGACGATAATTTTTTTTGGATAAAACTGGAAAATACTCGAAAAAGCAATACAGATTTGAAGAGATCTCGCGAAAGAAGAAAATTAAACGTCTTTGTTCGTGAGTCTATCTCTCTCTTGTTCACCAATGAACATGGTGAGTGTTGTGCGATTGCGTTATCGATTTAAATTTCAAATCCTGGCGGCAATGTCGTGATTGCCGTTATCGCTTGGCGAACTTGGTGAAACTTTGATTCAATTTTATTGAATTTATGTCCATTTCTATAAATGTCTATTAGTTTTAATATGGAGTTAATATACTCCTTATTTTTTTTCTTTAATTCTCAGAAAATTCTAAGAATTAAAAAAAGAGAAAGGATAATTTAAATCAAGATTAAAGTTATCTATATATTCAACATATATCAATATATATACATATATTGATAGAAATGAATATTAATTGACAATTTATTCGATTTGCAGTCTAACGAAAATAAAGATTGCATAATTGTAGTATAAAAAGAGAGTGAACGAGAAATTTCTAAGAAACATAAATTGCAAAATCAGAAAGTAAAAAAGTTTTTACGGTTTTTTTCTTAAAACGCTTTAAAATAATATAATACTTTTAAAATAATATAATACTTATCATTTTTTTATTTTCGTTAGGGCAGAATGTTTAAAGTAATTTCTAACTATGCAACAAATCCAAAATTATTAAAGAATATTGTCGATGAGAAAAAGAAGTTTTCTCTGTATTCTTAAAAAAAAATTCTTTACAAAATTCTATTCGTATAACATGCACGTTTTTCTTCTCTTTCCTTCTTTTCAAGTCATTGTGAACGATTACATATGCAAAACGGTTGGAATAATTTATGTAAATGCAAACCTTTGAGAAGAGAGTTGCACGTGTATTCCATTGTCAAGCACGATAAAAAAATTGTTATGAATTAATAGCGATTATTATTCGGATTATTATGTGCATTATGCTATTTTTTCTTTGTAATGATATGTTAAAAGCTTTGATATGAAAAACGTTAACGTATGCTATTTTCTAGCTTCGTAATTAGTTTTTAATGATATTTCGCATTCTAATGCCTTCATAAGGAAATATTGTGGCAAAGATTTATAGCCGAGTAAAGAGAGAATTTACAGAGAGAAAAAAATTTCACAGATTCCGTTAATTACGATTACATAATTAAAATATTGATTCAGCATTAAGGAAAATTGAGAACATGATCTAAAAGTTTTTAATTGTATCCATACGATATCTTTGTACGTTATCTTAGAATACATATTAACTTATAACACTGACATTTTGACTTAAATTAATATTATATTCGGGTATTCCCCTAATTTCACATTTACGCAACAGATATTAAATACCTGCGTACAATAAAAGAAGAGGAAATAAATTATACAAATTTCGCAGCGATAATTTAAAATATAATTATAATTCTGTGCCTTAAAAGATACCAGAAAAATATTAATTTAAAAATATTAATTACGTTGCGAGCAAAGAGATATGAACTCTCATTATGACATTAATTAATTAATTCAAGTGTATCCACATCGATCGCCTCTAATGAGAGAGTGTAAGTGAATGTGCACGTGTTGTAATAGACGGTGCGTTTTACTCATACATTTTAGTTTCACTTTTTTTTTCATATTGAATAGTTTCGAAACGGGGCCTCGGCCGCAGTCGGTGTCCCCCTCCCCCCCCTCCCTCCCCACTCTTCATCCCACCGAAGTCGATTCGTTTTCGCAAATGCTAGTACCGAAACGCGCCGTCGCACGCGTCAGTAATGGTCAGTAGCAGATTCGCCATCGAGTCGAGTGGTCGTCTTTCACGTTCTCACAAACGATTGTCCGAATTATCTTCCTCGCTCGCCTCGCATTTCTCCAAGCTTGCAGCGAAGTCGAACTTTTGGTCTGAATTTCGATTTCCACTTTCAGCTGATCCAACAGTACGTCCGACGCGGTGCCAGCGATCTTCGTGTCATTAACGCTGCAAAAGGTAATGTTTCCACTACCTGGTGATATGGACAGTCACAGTCGCGTCACTTTCTCTTTTCCCTCGCCGTCCCTCACCTCGCACGTGGTCGATGATCGCAATCCCATTTCCTTTTTGCTCCTTACTTTCCTCCGTTTCGGGGCCTAAGCGGATGACAGGTTGTTATCTAATATCATCGTTTCCCTCTCCTCCACTCGTTTTTCTGCACGCGAATTATGCAATTCTCAAGAGAGATTGGACGTTCATGCTATTGAATTGAGATTTCAAATTGCACACTGTCATGTTACGTTATCAGACGTTTATGCTATCGGATTTTTTTTTAAAATATTGCGTTACACTCACATTCAGGATTATTTTCTTTTATATTTTGTCCATATATGTATATATTACATTTCAGTTTTCTTTTTACAGAGCATATTTAAAATATGTAAAATATTTTTAAAAAATTTTTATAACGTTATGAGTTATATTTGCTGATCATTTTTTATTTTGGTAGCTTGATATATCATATATATGTATAAGTCAATGTATTTTCAGATCTTCTGAAAACAATGCCGTGTCCATTCTTAGCTCGCCTGTCTGCAAACTACGTTCGCAACTATGGGTCAACTTTGTTAATGAACTATCGGCAACATTGTCCGGTAATGTCGAAGTTCAGTACGATGGCAGAATCAGAAGAGTCTCAGCCAATTCCGGAGCCGATAGAGAATCAGTGTCCCTTCTTGTCCAGGGAACGAGACGCCGTAAAGAAAGCCAGTCTAGCGATGGAGGAAGATGTTATCAATCTAGGTGCTATGGAGCAGAAGGAGGAGGCGCATTTCGGCTATGAGGAATTCTTTCATGAACAAATTATGCAAAAGAAGAAGGATCATTCATACCGGGTATTTAAGAAGGTGAATCGTCTGGCTGAAAAATTTCCAGTTGCTATGGAGTACTCGTGGGGCGAGAAATCCATAACTGTATGGTGCTCTAATGATTACCTGGGAATGTCGCGTCATCCCGCGGTGACCGGCGCAGTTCGAGAAGCGCTGGATAAATTTGGTGCCGGTGCTGGAGGCACGAGGAACATATCTGGTAACTCCATGGGTCACGAGAAATTGGAGAAGCGGCTGGCACTGCTGCATCAAAAGGAGGCCGGTCTGCTCTTCACTTCTTGCTTCGTCGCCAACGATTCCACTTTATTTACTTTAGCAAAAAATCTACCGAACTGCCATGTGTTCTCTGATGCTGGAAATCATGCCTCCATGATACAAGGTATAAGGAACAGCGGCGTGCCAAAGCATATATTCCGGCATAATGATGTGGATCATTTAGAGGAGCTCCTGTCCAAAGTAGATAAACGCGTGCCGAAAATCGTGGCGTTCGAGACAGTACATTCCATGACCGGCGATATCTGTCCATTGGAAAAGCTGTGCGATGTCGCGCATAAATACGGAGCGATAACATTCGTTGATGAAGTTCACGCAGTCGGTCTGTATGGCAATACAGGCGCCGGTATTGGCGAAAGAGATTGGGTGCTTCACAAAATGGATATTATCTCCGGGACCTTGGGAAAGGCTTTTGGCAATATAGGCGGCTATATTGTTGGTTCTTCGAAATTGATTGACATGATAAGAAGTTATGCGGCTGGCTTTATTTTTACTACTTCACTACCGCCCACTGTATTATATGGAGCCCTAACATCCGTCGAGATCTTGGCATCAGATGAAGGCAGGTCGTTGAGGACGAATCATCAGAAAAATGTGGCCTATATGAAGTCTATTCTTACTGCCGCTGGTCTTCCATTAGAACCATCGCCTTCTCACATCATTCCAATAAAGGTAAGGCTGCAAAAATGAAGCTCAATCAACTGTCATAAACAACAAATATTGAAATATTAAAATGATTTATATTTTTTAGATAGGAGATCCATTGATATGTAGTCAAATAGCGGACCATTTGTTAAGAGATAAAGGGCACTATATACAAGCTATAAATTATCCTACAGTTCCAAAGGGTGAAGAGAAATTAAGATTAGCTCCAACACCGAAACACACCGAAGCCATGATGAATAAATTCGTGCAAGACGCACTGGACGTTTTTCATCAACTAAATATACCTAAAATAACCACGAAACCAGATGCGCCGCGTGCTATCCTGGTTCATTGACGAATGTATAGAATATACCCATGATTATCGTACAAATATAATAAAACCTATTTGCGTATAAATATTTATTTATCTAGCCTGTTTATCAGTGTTATATTCCAACAACATTTGGAATTATTAGTATATGAATCATGCATTATCAAAGTTAATTATTAAGAGGTCTAAATAAAGTTAATCGATAAATCTGCAGTTCTAATCATTCCTACTTTTTAAACTGCGAATTTGTGATAAAATAAATATAACTGTTACGTCAGAAAAAAGATTATTCCGAGCAAAATTTATAGATTTATTCTGAATGAGCATATGATATGATAAGAAATAGCTACAATTATTTTTATTTATCCTTATCACAAGGATTGCCACGTTATTTAAAAAAATCTATTTTTATTGCAATTATAATAAAAAACATGGTCCGTATATAACTTGAATGTAAAATCAGTTTTAAGACTAATCATAAGTCTGGTTATGTCGTGTTGATCGTTTTATTTTACACACACATTTATACACAATATACTGCAGCTCGGTTATTTGCGCACGCGTATCCACTCGCCTCGTCGACTCTTTGTCGTCTGCAGCTGTCAACTTTGCTCCTAGTGTAAGATCCGTTTGATAAGGTTCTCTCTGGAAGATGCAAATCTTGCTCTTCCAACAGTGTCGTTGAACAGCAGGCACATAAAAAAATGCTCGTACGACAATCGAAAAGTACGGCGCGGGTTTGACGCGACCCCCTCTGTTAGAATCGCTATTTCCGACTAGTATGTTTATTTATTGGCGCCCGTCCGTATAGGTTATAGAGGCAGAATGAAGAATTTGATCGGTATCCTAAAGATTCTCTTCCTGAATCACGCGCGCGGTGTGTCTTACACCGTGACGATGACACTTGTGCTGTTTTATTGTCTTCATCCGGCACGTTTCGCTTCCCACTACACCTTCATCAAGACTGAAGACATTTACGACGAGATGGAGAAATCGTATCCGCCAAGGGACAACTCGTGCGTAATCTCTATTAGCGGTAGACGGTCTTCCCAGCTGCTCTATCCGGAGGAGCATCCCAGGGAGGATCCGGTGGCGATGGCACGGCGACTGGGTATTCTACCGGGTGGCCAGTGGAAGCCTCTCAATTGCCATCCTCTCTTCAACGTGGCGATAATATTACCCTATCGCAACCGACAGAGTCAGCTTGCCATTTTTATGAATTACATTCATCCGTTTCTGCAGGCACAGAATCTGGATTACCGAATATTTGTCATCGAGCAGAGCCCAATGCGCGAGTTTAATCGTGCCAAGCTCTTTAATGTTGGATATGCTGAAGCTACCAAGATCAACGACTTCCATTGCTTCATTTTCCAAGATATAGATCTGATACCACAGAATCCTGACAATATCTACGCGTGTACCAAAATGCCCAGGCATATGAGCTCCAGTGTGAACACATTCCGGTATAATCTACCTTATATCGGACTGTTTGGAGGCGCAATAGCATTGACGAGGAAACAGTTCGAAAGGGTAAACGGATTCTCCAACGTTTTCTATGGTTGGGGTGGAGAAGATGATGACTTTTACAGTCGTTTACAGTCTAGAGGTTTTCAGGTTTGCATGATATGAATCAATGTAATTATTTATTTAAAGTTTATTTATTTAAAGTTACTTAAATTAGCTTTGTTCCATAGATTACACGTTTTGGACCAGACGTGGCACAATATTATATGCTGACGCATAAGAAAGAACCTCCTAGCACTACGAGATTCGCAAATCTGGAGAGTGGTGCACGAAGATACGATACTGACGGACTCAGCAATCTCGAATACAGAGTATTAAATCATCAATTGCGGCCATTATACTCTTGGATTTTAGCTGATGTCTAATTTTTTTTATTCAATATCGCACACACATATATATCTTTTTAAATTGGCTATGGTCATATAAGTTAATCTAGCACATTACATTTTCTAGAAGTCTGAAAAATTTCATCTTACACAAGATCTTAAACTTAAACTAAAAAAATCAACGAATAAATATAATTGTTTTGGCATGCTGTGATAAAGCACTATGATTAAATCCCGCAAGGGTATTTTTTTAACAATTGATATTTCCATTTCTGTGTGTATTAAGATTTGAATAAATAAGCTTCTGACAAATACTTAGCTTAGTATATGAACTTGCAGTGTTTTCTCAATAGCATTAATAGTAGTAATGAAATGTCAGTAATAATAATGGGTTAACAAGTTGTACAAAGATATAGTTATGTTAGTGATAAGAGTTAAAGACTGTAATCATCAGATTATTTTTTATTTCAGCTCATAAAAAAAGAAAGAAAGCAGTGCCATTTAAAGACATGATATTTAAATATATTGTCATTACATCACATTAATTTTATATATTTGTGATATTTACAATATAAAAGAATTGCAGCTACTTAATGGTACAAATCTACTTTACGTACATAGAAAGTATATTGCTATAATCTTTGGTCAATGATACTTACCTCATATCCAAAGAGAGTCTGGTCCTTTTATGTTATAAGTTAATAGAGCGTTCGTCGTACTAATTGTTCCTAAGTATTTTAGATATGAACTGTTTTTGTTATAAAATAAGGATTTCATATAACATCAATATTTAAACGTAATTGAATCACAAAGATTCTTTGACATTGCTCAGTTTATCAATGTTTAATACTATCTTATTACACATATTTGGTTTCTTTTAAATTGTGAATAAACAAAATATACAAGATTATTTAATATCTTGTTTTATTTGTGATTATATATAAATGAAAAATGATAATGACAGAACAATACTAATAATTTAAGTGTATTGTTATAATGATGAAATATTGTAAAACAATAAAATATTGCTTATTAATTGACAAGAGAACATGATAATGGAAAGTGTTGGACTAGAAATAAGTAAAATTATATATTACTTTTTAAATATTTAAAATAATGCTTATTATTTGAAAAATATATTTGAAACAATGTACAGAATTTTTGCTATGCTTAAAATATAAAAGAAACAAAATTTGTAACGTTTTAACATTCCAATATTTAACTTTTTTAATTTTAGAATATATATAAATGTATTTCTCTTTATATGCATTCTCATATCTAAAATTTGTAACAATCTTAAAGAATTTTCGATAGAGATTGTTTTTGATAATTATAAGTAAAATAAATTACATATATGTATGCAAAAATCACACAACGCATATCTATATTTTTTATTTCTAGAAATTTGAAGGATCGAGTTACTTTTTGGTAAACTTCGATTTTATAATTGAATACTTTTTTATTGCCAATATATTATTTGTTTAAAAAATCGTTTTAAAAGAAAAACGAATTTTAGATTCTAGTCAGATAAGTCAATTTGAAAAATTTAATCTGATAAAAAAAGAAATTACGTTTTCGATGTATAAGCAATGGTGCCGGAGTGATATTAATTTTTTTGATTTATTATTTAATATATACATAAATCTTGCATGATGGTTTTAGAAAGATAAGAGTAAGAATGATGTTAGAAATGTGTATAGTGATAAATATAATGTATTACCTCCAAAAAAATATGACGAAAAAAGTAATAAAAGGAAAATAAATGTATATACGTATACGGAAATAAATGTCTATTTTTTTATATCCAATTATATCCAATGATTAGCTTAGATTAGATTAGATTAAATGAATGCGAAACTCACTAGAGATTTTGTTGTAATATAATAAATATAAGATGCGTCACACATAGTACATATAAAGTTAAATTCATCAAACATATCAAATTATATGAAAAAATAAATCATATTTTTTCTTAACAGAGCATCATTGAAATTGATCCACTAATGATGATACTTTTTGTAGAACAAGATGCAGTATATATTAAAACAATACGACGATTGATTGTATAATATTTGTAGTAAGGTGTTTATTTTTAGTACAATTTTATATAACTTGTTAAGCCACCAAATATTTCATGATCCAAATAATTCAATATGTTCAATGTGTAATGCAAAAAAAGATTTTTTAACAAGTTCATTTGTGACATCCATTTTTTTTTTATCACCATTCAATTCTATATAATTTATTTATGGACAAATATTATTGCATTGCACAATGATACAATAAATGTTCATGTTTCAATCGGATAATTCTGTGCGGAAAAAACATCTTTGAAAGAATTAAAAATATAATCCAAAATATTTTCGAGTAACACTGATCTTATATAAATAAAATGGCGTGAATAGATGTATATTTTGACAGCATATTGTGGTATATCATATATTATGAAAAAAAAAAAAAAACGAAATTATATGTCGATTATTTCAAAACATACGAGGACTTTGCACAAAGATGTATAAAATGCGTATTGCATAGCGTGTGCAAGTGTCCCAAAAAAATTGGCTATCACTGTGCAGTAAATTGCTATTACATTATTCGAATACCAATACGAGCGTGTAATTATGCTTCTATGGAAAATGGAGTACAAGAACCTATATGTATATATAAAATCTATTTTAATGTATCCTACGTATTATGTGTCGGATAATTCTTGATATCGTGCGTACATCATTTTTTTTACGCAATCTTTATAGGTGTCGCCCGGTAACGCGCTATATGACGAGGTTTTCGCTCCCAAACCAGCTGTAGGGACACGTCTTTCGGCTTCGATAATACTCGTTCTACCTTGATTAGATTTTCCTAAACCCATTCCTTCGCTCCAGCCCATTTTTTGCAATAGTTTATTGCCAACGTTATCAGAACCGATACCAGCTCGTGTAGGCTCCTCATAAGATACTGACATCTCTTCCACTCTAGTCTTTAAATATTTCTCTTTCAGTTTGTTAGGTTGCGGTGGTTCAGGTTCACCGTATTTGGCTCTTCTTTCCTTAGCGCGGTCTCTGTATTTATTATTTCTCTGCTGCGGATCATTGGGATCCAGACCGCGTACTTGATACCAATTTTCCAGATTTTGTTTATGTAGATCAGATAATTGTTGATGACGAAGTAATGCCTCCTTACTTGGAAACTGTCGTTTGCAGAGTAAGCACGCCAACTTACTCCAATCCGTGTGTTGTTTCTCTTCTTGTTGTACGTCCTCTATTTCCTCCTCTGTATCGCTACCGCCGCCATAAGCAGCCACCAATCCATTACCGCTCTGATCCTCGTCCTCGTGATAAGGATTCGCAATAGTTTTCTTTTCTAAGATAGCGTATCCCGCGTCTGCCGCGCCACTTCCGATACCTTGATTGCCATCTGCACCAGCAAACTCAGAATTCCAATTACTTTTGGCATTCTCCTTCTTTTGATTCAACGTTTTCGCCCAACGTTCCATGTCTTTCGCTATTTTCTTCGCTACTTTTACTTTATCCTGCTTGCTGTCTTTCTTTTTACTTTCGTCCTCTTTCGATGCTTCCTGAGTTGTATTAGCGGTCGACAAAGTCGTAGGTTGATTGCTAATCGTACTTGCGGAATCTGTACTACTTGCCGTCGCTGTTATCGTGCTTGTAGCTCCTTGCGCCGTACTCGCAGTGGTCTGTGAATAAAAAATATGAAAATATTTTTTCTGTTCGTATTTTTAGATCTCATTGCTGTAATCCTTTCACAAACTTCAATCTTAATTACCTTAGCTGGTTGATAAGAGAATGATTCGGCGTCCCAATAAAGAAACTGTTGCGTATGACTATTATAATAATATTGCGAATTTGGGTCATAATAGAGTCCCGTACTGGGATCATAATAGTAGCCAGATGATTCGTCGTAATGATAAGTACTGACATCCGGTACAGCTGAAATAATAATTATACGATAGTTATAAAAATGCGAATTGTTTAAAATAAATAAACGATATGTGAAATAAATATATATATAATAAAATATATAAACGATGTGAAATAAATATAAAAACTCACAGTATACTTTCCCATCACTAGAATGTGCAGGAACCCTTCCACTTGCTAATGCTGTACTGGAAGGTGCTGTAGGCGTTGGTCGTCCCTTCACGTCGTCGGTCTCACTTCCTAGTTTTCTGGACGCCTGTAATTGTTGTATAGCGGATTGCGCTACCGCTGCGGCTGCATTTACTCGATCTGTCTGATTCAGCGATGGCAATGTGATCGCCGAACCTTGCATTATCTGATTTTGATAATATTGCGTGTAATACTGAAGATAATGAGCCTTTTGCGCAGGCGTTTTGGCATATAAGTTGGCACTATATTCAGCCAATTGAGCGACGTCGTCTAAGGTGTACCTCTGTGGCTGAGTGTCGTTCGATTTCCACGCGTTTGTATTATTAATTTGATGAAGTTTACAATATGTTATTTCCACCTTTCTGCCATCGACCACCAGTCCTTGTTTTGTGAGCGCGGTATGCAAGTACATGGCGTCCACTACATTGCCCATTTCCAAGTAACACACTCCCCTGGATGTATTCGTGAGAGAATCACGACCGATGCGAATACTACGTATCGGCATTGACGACAGATTTTTCATTGCTTGCAGAACCGAGTCCTCGGTCGTTAATACATCTAATCCCCGTAGAAGCACGGTATTCGTGGGATGTGGGCTGATCTCATCGCTACCTTCTCCGCCTTCCTCGCTCTCCGCTCGCGAGGCGGAACACTTGAAGCAAGTCTCGCGCCGTTTAAAATTATGCGCACCACACTGTAAAAACAAACATAAAAGTAATAAATGACTCGTGATATATCATGATACGTAGGAACAAACGATACAAACCTTAACACAATGCCAATCTTGTGTATTTTTTGCCGGCGGTTTATCCACATGACACTCCTTTGGTATACTGTACTGCATTAATGCGCGGTATTGGTCCTGCAGCATCAGCACTCCCTGAAACAGAGAATTTCAGTGTTATCCCGTCCAACGTCTTCCTAAGGCCTCTTGTTTTTCCCGTAAACTTCCTTCTTGGTTGACGAAATTATAGTTTTCTACTTCATAGCTTTCTGTCTCGAACGAATAGCGAACAAAACCTCATGAGCTTATTATAATGTGGGCCATTCCACACCGTTTGCAAACCGCGATGCGTCTATGCGCGACTTTACGTGGATAATCGTAATTTGAATTTCCGTAAAAAAGTGCAGGCAAGCAACGCGAGAATTGCTTGCGTGTATAAAATTTTTATGTGAATAAAAAGTTCTTTCGTGCACCATTTCCATGGAGGTTTGAAACATCATAAATAATCGCATCAACTAAGCGAAATACAGAAGCAAAGATATAAGTAGTATAATAAAAAAGCGAATAACGCGAACAGCAAAAATCGTAGCTCGGACTGTCATGCTAAATACAAAATACACAATAATAATAATAATAATAATAATAATAATAATAATAATAATAATAATAATAAAATAATCATAAGACGACTGGAATGACCCTTCTCCGATCTTCATTGTTAATTCACGAATTTTTTGTGACAGAAGAGAAGTAAAAGCACGCGACGCGATGGGATCTCGGTCAATCGTAAACTTAATCCGATATATTGCGCGAATATTATGAGCGAGTTAAGAAAAATCTGCAAAATATGTGGGGATTCCTAGATAAATAATTAGATACGGTAGATTTAAATAGTTTTTTATAGGTGCACAGCCGTGGCCACGGGGAGGGCCAGAGGGCTGCGTTACCGTGCCTTGCCGCCACGGGGCAGTCGGTGGCACGCGTGCAACAATGCATCGGTTGGGTATCTGGACCGAACTTCTTTCTACCTGTTTCATCTCCATCCATCGTGCGGCCTCCTGAGTCGCGTTAAACTCGACGAATGCAAAACCTCGCGAAGCACCTATACAGAGCAAATACACACATATCCAGAGTTAATCCACGTTTTTGCCTTGGTTTCTCTACTCTGAGAGAGGGCAGGCAATCAGCACCGACCATTGACAGACTGAGAGTTTCAAACGAAGTGTCTCTTCGCTTCGTCGCTTGCTTTCATTTTCCATTTACCTAAATTTCGTAGAATTCCGTGCGAGAGACCGTAGTTCACCGATATACACGTGAACGAAACAGTATACAATTTAAAGTTACGGAAAATTTATCTTTCTTTTTTCAAACGCCAAGCCTAACCAAGATAAAAATTGCATAGCTTTCTTTTATGTCTCTTTCTTTTTTAATCACGTAAACGGACGACGTAAGAACTTTTGCGAATAACAATTCTGAACGTATATTAATCGTTTGTATACCGTAATTTAATAGTAATTCAACTTAAAGATTAATAAGACATTGTTTTAATAAAAATACAATATTATTTCATTTTTGCTTAAAATATGAAGCTTTAAGACACTACGGATGAATTCAAAATTAACTATTAATGAATAAAAATTGATACTTTGTCGATATAACATTTCTTTCAACTTTTTGTGAAACTTTATATTATAAGAAAAATAAAATATTTGTATTATTATTAAAATAATGTCTTTAAATGTAACAAGACTATCCTAACCGACAAATTGTTATAAATTCTCATAAATTATATTATTCTGCCATTAAAATGTAATATAAAAATATGAATAATTTTTCAAATTGTATTACTAAATAAATTCAATGAACTTTCATTGAGTTGTTTTTTTGTATAATTTTGATACATTTTTTGTATAATTTTCTAGTTTTTAATATTTTTTCTAACTAATAGTTTTTCCTTTTTCAAAATTCCTCTCTTTTCTATTTTTTTATACTTACCTTTTACCGACAACATATAATTAATAGATAGCAAAAGCAATATTTTGGAAAATATATATAATTGATATTAAATATAAAAATTTTTGAAACTCTAAATGTAGCAATTTGTAAAAAAATATTAATAAATTTCATATCCAATACCAATATTTTGGTCCATTTATGCGATTTGGTAAATGATAATAATTGTACGAGCCTAACGATACGTAACAATATTACAAGTTCAATTAATATGCATATCTCATAAGGATATTAAGATTTTTAGTACAGTCTAATAGTTACCTGTATCTTTTTTTCGAATCAGCCTGATGTCCTTAGGCATGAGACCACAGTTGAGGATATCTTGCCGCACCTGTGATATACATATCATAATAATAACAGTGATGCCATGCTTGATAACACTGGCTCACGAATGGCCACTATATTAGGCCACAAAGTTGACAACATACGTCATTTTCAGTAATATGCTGAGCAAGCCCACGTATCATTATGGTGTTGTTAGGCGATTGTGATTTGTAGTGGATCCCTTCCATGGACGAATTATAGGTACGACCATGGTCGTGTTCAAACTCCAAACTCTCTCGACTATGATCGTCGTCGCGATCACGATCCCGATCCTCTCGTTTTCCCCTACGATCTCTATCCCTATCTCGATCCCTATCACGTCTAGAACGGTCCCTATCTCTATCCCTGTCTCTATCTCTATCCCTATCTCTTTCTACAGAATCTCTATCTCTCTGTCTCCCATAACGATCTTCGCGATCTCTGTAGTTGCGATCACGATCGTCTCTGCTACGGTCCCTCCTATCCCTCGAACGATCCCTTTCGCGATCTCTGTCTCTTCCACGATGATTTCTGTAATCTGGACTATGGTGATCCCTATCACGATGATCAACGTCACGATGTTCTGAATATTCTGGTGATCTGTTGTTTCCATAATCACTGCGATAATCATAATCAGAATTGTGACTTCTTCTTTCTGGCCCATAGCCAGGCTCCCAAGGGTCAATATTATTGCTGTACATACTGTTCGCACATTTATTCAACTCCTGAGAAAAAAAAAAGAAAAGAATTATCATTTCTTCATTTTTTAACAATATAAAAAATTCTAATGCTGTACATATAAAAATAAAGTAATAGAAAGTAATACTCAATAGTTTTGCATTTAATTGACTGAATTTCAATTTCAATTCTATTATTTCTCTTTTGTATATACATATGTATATTTTGTACTAGAATATAATTATTAGTATAATTATTAGTATTTTTTATTAGATATAAAAAATAAATCATAGTTTTACAATATGCACTATTCAAATTCTTTGATACTCCCATATTTTTTTATACACATGTGTTAATATGTGTTATATTTGAGATATTTTATTCTTTCAAAATTAAATTTTAATTGCATCCTGTATAACTAATATCCTGTATAACTAATTTGGAAAGTGATAAAAATATACTTCAGTGTTCAGACTAATTGAAAATACAGCAATGACACAGCAATGAAGACATATCCTAATTAAATGCATACATTAATTCTCAAATAACAAGTAAAATTGTTACAATACATCAAGATACCAGATAGAATGCAAATCAAAACCTTTAATCACTCTTTTCAAAAGTTTCGAAAACAAATTTAAACTCTTTGTTTGAAAATCACGGTAAAATAAAAAAAAAAAAAAGAAAAGAAAGAAAATAGGGATCGATTCTATGTAGCGACTTATAGCACCATGTTGCAACGCGTTTCACACCCAAAGCAATATTCTAGAACAAGATGCAACGCACGACGAAATTATACGCACGTCGGATTATTGCGTATCGTAAATGCGGACGATACGTTCGTTGCGTCTCGAACAGAAACACGCGGCTCGAATGATCGAATATATAAGTCAAACGACGCGAATCTCCTGTCGTGAGCGCGCAAACATCCCGTGGTGTTGAATAAATCTTACCTGCTGCAACTGATCCCTCGCTTATGTGCGATGCGCCGAATACCGAATCGATAATAGCGAGTAACGCCTCGTTTCGCCCGTCGTATTCGTTATTTTTCCAGGAACGTATAATGAAACTGAGCGAAAAGCTAAGCGTTGTGTGCGATGCGCACACAATGGCGTTTACCGAGCTCCTCGTTCGATCCGCAAAATATGGCGACTCCGTCAAGACGAACCGAAGCTTATTACGTGTACCCACAGAACATATACTAGAAACACATTACACCGAGGCTGCGTTCCGATTATTCACTGCAAGTACTGAAAATCTATAATATACGTGACCTGAACTATATATTTTCAGTAGTGGCAGTGAAAATCGGAACGCAGTCCGAGTGTTGCACTGCACTGGATGCTTTCCATTTAATGACACAAGTCGACACAAATATCATTTTGTCCTTGTTAATCATTGAAAGCCAAGAAAGATAGAACGATACTTGTGTCGACTTGTGTCACTAAATAATAAGCATCCACTAGTGGGCGATACCAACGCCATCTCGTAGCATATCGCGCTATGTCGATCTTTCGCTGCTTCTCTATCATGCTTCACCGTTTTGTCAGCTTCACTCGATAAATCGTAAAAATGGCTACCCGTCTGCTAAAAATTAACAGCGCATTGCGCACATATTCGAATAAGACCAGCCTTGTAAAGGTAAAATCGATTACATTTCACGATGCGTAGCCAGCATATTACAATAGCGGTTTTAGTTTCATATTCGATACATTTTGTTCAACTTGGGATGAGGCTTGCCACTGTTGTGGTTTCCTTACGTAATAAGAAAAAAATAATAATTTTACAGTTTATAATTTGCAAAGATATAAACGATTATCTAAATGATTAGTTTAAGTTATTTTGTTACGAGATTCAATAAAGTGAAAATATTTTATATGTATTACAAAAAATTTCTAACCTTTTCATATGGGTTTTATGTTGATTATTTTATTTCTTTTTCGACAGATGTATTTTAATATATTTCTTATGAAAAGGAAAAGTTATTAGTATCTATTAATGTATACATACTTTATTATTAATTATCCAGATACTAATAGATATTTATGTAATAAGTAATAAAAATTTAATATCTTTTTATTATAATGCAAAATATATATATTCATTAAAAATTTAGATATATTTAAGAAATTTAAAGTTGTATTATTTAATAAGAGATTTATAATCATATAACAAATCAAATGCAAATAAATTATGTATTTTTAATTAAAAATATATATTACTCAGGTTTATAATGCTATTTCTAGGTATCAAAGCAATGGCAATCTACTGTTGCTTCTTTAAAAGAAATACTTATCAATCAACCAGCTACAAGAGTTACAACTCTAGATAGTGAAATGCGAGTTGCTAGTGAAGATAGTGGAGCTCCCACAGCTACCGTTGGTCTGTGGATAGATTCTGGTAGTAGATATGAAACAGATGAGAATAATGGTGTTGCTCATTTCATGGAACATATGGCTTTTAAGGTAAATTAAATAATAGTCAATAAAAACTGATAATTATATAGTTTCTAGAATTCTATGAAATGATTTATTTAAAATCCATATGTAGCAATTCAATTTTGAGATAATAGAATATCTATAAACTATATGATAATATAGTATATTTTAGCTTTTATTATAATTAAATCATTATGTTTTTATTGGTAGTAGATAATCTTTGGTATTACAGGGAACGGCTAAACGATCCCAAACCGATTTGGAATTAGAAATAGAAAATATGGGGGCTCATTTGAATGCTTACACAAGTCGAGAGCAAACAGTATTTTATGCAAAATGCCTGTCGCAAGATGTACCAAAAGCTATTGAAATTCTTAGTGATATTATAAAAAATTCTAAGTTGGGTGAAAATGAAATCGAAAGAGAACGTGGCGTTATTTTGCGTGAGATGCAAGAGGTTGAAACAAACTTGCAGGAAGTTGTATTTGATCACTTACATGCTGCTGCTTATCAAGGTACATCTTTAGGGCGAACGATATTGGGACCTACAAAAAATATCAAAAGTATTTCTCGAGATGATCTTATTAAGTATGTAAAAACTAATTATGGGCCACCTAGGTAAGATTTTTGTTGAGTTGATTATTAATTTACAGTCAGAATTAACTATTAATCTAAATATTTAATTGTTAATTTTTTTATCTTAGATTTGTACTAGCTGGTGCTGGTGGTGTAAATCACAATCAATTAATCGAACTCGCTGATAAACATTTTGGCCAAATGAGAGGACCAGAATATGATGTGATTCCGGATTTTATTAAATCCTGTCGATATACCGGCTCTGAAATAAGAGTTCGTGACGATTCTATCCCTCTTGCTCACATTGCGATTGCTGTTGAAGGTATTTAGAATTTAATATTCTATATTAATAGAATTATATTTTATAAAATAATGTTTTCAAGGTGCTGGATGGGCTGAAGCGGATAACATTCCTCTTATGGTCGCAAATACTCTCATAGGAGGATGGGATCGTAGTCAAGGAGGCGGTGTAAATAACGCAAGCAATTTAGCTAAAGCTTGTGCAGAACAAGGTTTATGCCATAGCTACCAAAGTTTCAACACATGTTACAAAGTATGTCATAAAGTATATTAAATAAATATTTCTGATTTACATATAAAATAACTAATGTATCAACCAATGATTCATAATTTTGCAGGATACAGGACTTTGGGGTATATATTTCGTTTGTGATCCTATGCAGTGTGAGGATATGACAGCATGCGTTCAAAACGAGTGGATGAAACTGTGTACATCGGTTACAGAAAAAGATGTAGCACGTGCAAAGAATATTCTTAAAACTAACATGTTCTTACAGTTGGACGGAACTACTGCCGTTTGTGAAGATATTGGCCGACAAATGTTGTGTTATAATCGTCGAATTCCACTTCATGAACTCGAGATGAGGATAGACGTATGTAACTTTTTTATTGTATGGAACATTATTGGATAACGAAATCTG